TTTTTTTTTTTTTTTTTTTTTTGTCACTTTTAGAATTTACAATTAAAAAAAATCCATTAATATATAAATATATATTTTAAATAAAACATTCGAATTCAAGCTATATTTCATCAAATAACGTTTTTTTTTTTATAAGTTTTATCCAAAAAAAAAAGGCCTATCTTCAAAATCCACAAATAATAGTTTTATTTTGAAATATAATTTTTTTTTGTTTTAAATATATGTATAGCCCTTTTTCTCAGGTATTTCTATATTTTATTTTTCTCAAAAAAAAAAAAAATACAAAAATTCTTAATAACGCTTCATCTTCGAAAGTTTCGTTGCAATCCAAACAACCATAAATTCTATCTATACGTGTAAATGGTAATTAAGTATTCATTTATTGTTTTGCATCTATAATTTCTACAATATTCTAATTTATATTATTGTAGCTTCGAATATTCTATATTACCGTAGCTTTTCAATATTGGGACTTAAGCTTTTGTTTCTCTTGAGTTTTATTCTTAATCGAAAAATATTCTATACCTAAGAAAAATAATAAAAAAATATTAATAAAGACGAAACTTATATTGATATAAAGTATTAAAAGAAAGCGAAATATAAACATACCTTAAATTTAATTTTGAATAAAATAAAAACATATTTAAAATGGGTTACTTAAAAAAATAAACAAATATTAGGTGATGATTAAGATAAATTGAATTAAATGAATATTTGAAACTCAATCAGCTCCATTGAAAATAAGAAGAAAAAGAAATAGTATTTGAATGGTAGCAAGGAGAAAGGAGGGGTGGTCCAACTTCCCACGTGTTACTTTTGAACTCCCTCCCTTCTCTTCGTCCATATTGGAATCAATTTTAGTTTAAATTCCATCCTTTTCCCTCAATTTACTTCATATTCGTTAATTCATGGATGCCAATGCAACTATTTCTCATTAAACCACAAAATTCTCCATAATTTATTAGAATAAATTCCTTTTTTTTTTTTTTTTTTTTTTTAAATTTTTGGCGTGTGATTCACAGTAAAAGATTCCATCTTCTTTATTCACGATTTAATCTTGTTTGCCGGGGAGAATCCTCCTACAGAACTGGACACCCCTTGTTCTTGTTTCTGCTAATATCCAACCAATGAAAGTTTAAGCCTTTGGTACAATTAAATCGTCTCTTCAAGTACGCCTAGCAATGGCCGAAGCCAGACCACTCAACCTCATGGACTCTGCCTCGGTGGCCATTAAGCAGTCGGGTCCAAGCCCCGGTGGCGACGCCATTTCACAACTTTCGAGGATGGACGGTCCAGATCAACCCAAGGTCGCGCGCAGCCCAACTGTAAATTATATAAAATTTTGGAAGACCAGAAAGTTGATTCTTGTAAATTCTGTAGTTTATTTATTTTGTTCGATCATTCCACAGATGTTACACTCGTCACAAAACCAAGGCCCAAACAACCAAAGGTTTTATGTCGTTTAATAGTTTTTAAAAAATCTTAAATGATTATTTTCCTCTCCATATATTGAAAATTTAAAATATATTTTGTGGTTAAAAAGTTATTAAATTATTGCATTATTGGCCTATGAGCAGTATAGCTTATTTTAATAGATAATATATAGTTTTTTTAAAATTTAAAAGGTACAAAAATAACGACCAACCTATAGAAAGTATCCATAGGTATGGAACCTTAATGGACGAATTAAGGCAATTAAAAAGTCAACAAAATGTACTAGCGGTTTCTGTTTCTATTTTTTCTATTTTCCAAGAAAAAACAAACAAAATTAATTATCCAATATTAAGTAAAGGGGGAAACGAAAAAAGAAAAAGAAAAAACAGAGGCGATGGGAGTTCCCGCTCTATTCCGCACTCGTCAGAGCGCCACGCGACCTCACGAGGAAGTGTTTGAGCCTGGTATCTAGCTGCTTCTCTGGCTATCTCTGAGTGTTCCAAGAATGGTAAACTCCTCCAAGGACGACACAGCCACCAACGGCGATTCTCCGCCCTCCAATTCCAGCCTCTACTCCGAAGGCGAGAAGGTCCTTGCATATCATGGCCCGCGCATCTATGAAGCCAAGGTACTTTTCCTTCTACGCCATTTTTTTTTATTTTTTATTATGGTATTCGACTTTCAATTCCTCTTTCTTTTTCCTTAAAACTTCCCTTAAGCATCGAGCTGTCAGCTCGTTTTTCGGTTGGCGCAGCTGATTTTGGGAGGAAAATTACAAAGGGGGGGGGGGGGGGGGGGGGGGAGAGATTATTTTTGTACCCTAATTCAATCGCGTCAGTTCTTTCCTTCGCGTGTGGCTATTGGATTTCTTTCGCTTGTTTTGTCGGGTTTATGACCGGAGAAAGAGAATACCGTACGAAGGTTCAATTAGCTGAGGTCAGTGTTACGGGGACACGAGAGCTTTGGAAATGACCAAGTTTCCTACATTATCAACGAAGAAAAGGATTAGGACCATGTCTATACGAAGGAAAAACGCACAGAATTTGAGTCATTGGAGAGAACACATTTCATATGTAAAAATTGAACAACGAATTCCAACAATTCTTGGCAAAAGCGCAGTGAAAAAAGAGATGAGTCATGGATTCAGCTACTTCGAAACATAATTGACAATAGAAGGCTGCAAAGCTGAAGATGACATCTCCTTTTGGAGAGAATATGATCTATAATGCCGCTGTTTAGCATGATCCACTAAAGAATATTTGCTCTTTTGGGACTATTGGAAGAGTTCGTAAGCTTCTTATTGAGACAGTTGGCTGAAAATAATCCCGAAGAATCAAGAGATCATCATCTTGAATCATCAAAATCAACCAAATTAACCGAATCCAAGTTCTCCTACAGAGAACTCAAGTCAACAATCTTCTTATCCTTCAAGTTTCTTCTAAAAGAATCTTCCAAGATAAACAATAAGAATCCCATGAATCTGATATAACTCCATTTAGGAGTGTTGAGATCTTTATCAAACTTTAAAATGCTAAAGATCAAACCATATATCTGGAGATGTTCATAGAGTTGGTTGGCTAGACACATGAGATATAGGTTGTTGGGAGATGATCAAGGAGTCTCTTCACCATTCTCTCCTTTCATGAGAAAGGAAGCCTTTTATGGTAAGTCAGGGCAATGTGCCGTTTTTTGGGGTTTGTGGATGGAGAGGAATAATAGAATATGATATTTGGTCCCTTGTTAAATTACATGTTTCTTTGTGGGCTTTGTTGGTGAAACCTTTTTGTAATTATCTGTAAGAATATGATATTCGTGCATTTAACTTCATCATCTGAAGCAGTCTAATTTTCATGAATCGATGGTAAGAGAGCAAGATCGAAAAAAATAAAGGAATTATTTACCTCAACATCATAATCAGTTAGATAATTAGGTATCATAAGCTTCAGCTACCTCACTTTCGTCTTGCTTAATGTGTTCTGTTGAGGGAGAGATATTACTTCTCCTCTGATTGGATGCAACATCTCCAGGAAATTGTGCAATATTAGTTGTACTCCTACTAACATTTTTCTTTATTTTTGAATCCATACATGTTGTCTTTTCTTGTGAGTGTCATAACCAACAAAACTATTATGCCTAGTCTCTTTGGATTCAACTTGTGAACCTTATTAAAGGAGATCCTAGAGTTGCTAGCAAAAATTGTGAGTTTTCTTGCGATTGGAATGTACTCCTTGTTTGGTAGGCAGATCCTCTATGCACAACAACATACCCCTACGCATAACAACGTGGTAACACCAATTTCCTAAAATCTCTGAAGTAACTCAACATGCATCTTAATTGAACAAAGAGCATAAAACAACTATCACATAAAACTAAAAAACTACGTCTTATTTCTACAAAACAAAAGGCAACAAGTTGCATCAACTTGATTCTTCACTAGGATCCCCATTTTGTATCATCTCACATTTAAAGGAAATCGATGCCATATTATTCCTTATCCACAGTGATCAAACAAGTAGCTATCCAGTTTATGCCCTTACATTTCAGGTTCAAAAAGTTGAGCTTAGGAAGAAGGAATGGAGATACTTTCTGCACTATCTAGTAAGTTTCACTTCCTTGTCTTGCAATTTTCCTTGCCCCCCTTCTTCTGATTTTGAGTGACAATCTTAATATAGTGTATGTTTGTTTAAGTGAAAAGTTTCTTCTCATGTTACTGACTGCTTCCAATTTGTCATTTTGCAGGGCTGGAATAAAAAGTGAGTCTTTCGTTCTATTTTATATTTGAATTCGCTATTGTTTCAGTCACTTCATCTACTGTGTAGATGTTTTTTTTTTTTTTTCCCCCCTCCATCGTGTGACGTCATCTAGTTAGGCTTCATATGCTAGCAATTATATGCTTCTTCCTTCTGCTTTCCTTTTCATTTTTTTTCTACTTTCACATTATTTTATTAAAATGACATTTAAAACTTCCTTAAGAATGTTAGAAGCATAACAGGGATGTAGAGACACCGGGTCATTTTTTCATCACTTGCAGCTTTGCTTATAATTTTGTCCAAAGATCTTTGCCTTGCTTTAGATGCGATCAGTTGGCATTTTACTGCAGTGGAAAGAGGATTGCATTGCTGTTAAGGATTCTGCTATCGGGATTTTCTCTATTTCGATAGAGCGTAAAATTAAGGACATTATAGATGGCTGGATTTAGGGGATTTCCGCCCATGTAACTCCTACTGGTGTAAGGAGTTTTGGCAGGAATTGTTTGATTGAGCTAGGTTATATGAAGGTGCTTGGTGTATTGCGGGGGACTTCAATGTGATAAGATGGATGGAAGAGAGACTTAATTGCAATAGAATTACTAGAAGTACAATAAGTTTATAGTTGTGAATGATTTAATAGACCCCCCATTGTTATGCGGCAAATTTACTTGGTATTGTGGAGTAGAGTACTTCGGCTTTGAGGATTGATATAATTTTTTTTTCTTCTAGGGGTTAGGTAGATGATTTTGAAATCTCTAGATTGAAGAGGTTAAATCGTCCTACTTCAGATCATTTCCCCCTTGGAGTGGTATTTGGGAATAATATAGATAAAAGAAAAAAACATGAGATTCTTCATCAAATTGCCCAAATTAACTAGTTGACCTAGCATGGTGGTATTTCTCCTTAGCAAAAAGATGATAGAATTAGGCTGAAAGCTTCCTTGACTGAAATGATTATTAGTAAGGAAAGAATGTTGAGCCAGAAATGTAAAGATTAATTGGTAAGAGGTTGGGGATGAAAACGCTGCCTTCGTCCATAGATGGATCTCAATCAAGAAGAAAAGAAATTTGATCTCTACTCCCGAAAGTAGCGTGGGTCAATTGTTGTTGACTGAAGAAGAGATTGTTAGCTTCTTTTAGAACTTACACTTCAAAGATGATGGAGTCAATGTGGTCTCTCTCAATAGATTTAGCAGCTCTTAGTTAGAAGGCCATTTCAAGAGGAGGAAATCCTCAAGGAAATTTGATGTATGGGCAGCCTAGAGAATTTGGCTTCTCTCATTAATGAAATTCCTTCTGACCATCATTTGGAATATCTTCAAATGGAGAGAAACTTCGAGGCTTTTGAAAGGAGGTTTGGGGTGACTGGTAGACAATTGGAAGAACTTCTGTGTTTGGTGCTAGTTATAGAGAAAGATAGTTACCAAAGTTGCAAATATTCAAAAGGTATTTTCTCTCTGAAGACACAAAATGGTAACCACCTTTCTCCTCTAACTCCGATCTCATGCGCTTCTTTTACCCCATATCTATTCACACATATCTTCTGTAACGTAAGTAGCTCCATAGGAGTACAACTAATAATATTGAGGATTAACCCCATGGATCATATTTAGAGATCGTCTCTATCTTGTATGGTCATCAGTGGTGTAGGGCGTGTAAGAAACCCTTTGAATGTTTGGAGAATGTTGGGTGGGGATGTCAGTTTGCATCAGTGATTTGGAATATCCTTTTTAGGGTTTTTGGTAGACGTATGGCTTGCAATAGTTCATCCAGACTAATTTATTTGCGAATGGGTCTTGCTAGGTTCAATGCCCCCTTTGGGCTTCTGTTACTAAGAACTTTAGTGATAATCCCTTTTCTTTTGAATTAGAGCATCTTTCTGTAAGTTGTTTTGTTTGTCTCTCTAGGATGTTTGGGTTTTTTGTTAGCTTGGGCTTTACAGGACATGGTTAGAATGATGAGCCTTGCAATTATGAGATGTGAAAAACGAAACATATGGATGTATTCTCTGGAAGATTCTTTTCATAAGTAGCCTGACTAACTTTCTTAAGAATGACGTACAGACCATAGTATATAGGTGCCAACTTTGCATTTCCTCTCCTTGCTACCAAAAGCTGGCTATTAAGCAGCTATTAAGAAAAACTATACCACCACCCTTGCAACTCTACATCATGGTAAGATCTTTTATTTATTTATTTTTATTTTTAAAATTTCATTTTTATATATGATAAACTGAAATTTCATTGGAAAAAACTAAAAGAATACAAGAGCATACATCATGACTAGTTTTTCTGCTCGGGCTTTCATTAATTGCTGTAAGCACAAGAGTTCCATCCACTTTTCTCTGTTCGTCTTTTTTATTTTATTTTTACAGTTTTTCTTTTCAACAATTGGGGTAGGTACTATCCCAGTTTGAGATTTCATGAATATCATCTTCAAATAATCTCTTGAAGGGGGATTGATAATGAACTTGAAACCTCCCGTTTCCCTTTTTATTTCCTGCAAATGTATTTTCAAAATTGAATACTTGGTTAAGATGCTTTATATTATAGCATAAAGTCGTATGAAGAATGAGGGCCTTACATAAATAATTCTTTTTTGCACTGCTTTTAGATATATGATTCTATGTACATTAAACAATTATAAGCTCAGAAGAAGCTTGTACTTAACAATATATAATAGTGATCACTTTCCAAATCTGATGATAGTAGTTTCCGTCATTTAATTTGAGCATTTCCAACATTTTACATCAGTATCTATTTTCTTTAAGCATGGCTTGCGATTTTGGTTCCTGAAGGGTTAGATTTTCAGACCCAATTAAATAAAGTTGGGTGCAGGGCTTTACTTCTGTTTCTGTTTCCAGATTTTTGTAAAAAAAAATATTTGAAAATGAAAGTTTTAAGCTTTCAAGTTTTTCTTGTATTGGTTACATCATCTCCTGCCGAAGCCTTTTCTTGATCAACTGTTGGAGAAATGTTTAAGTTGTGTTCTTATCCACGCAATACTGATAACCTCTTAGAAATCGTCTGGCGAGAATGCATTAGAATTTTTCTTTAGTTGGTTGCATTTTTCTTTTCAAGAATGTTCTTTTAGAAAACAATATAGAAGTTATTAGCTTTGATTGGATTTATACCATCTTTTTATGATAGTTATGTCATTTTTATAAAAGCAATACAATAGTTATTACAATGCACATCTTGCTAACAGTTGGGACGAATGGGTAAGCGTAGATCGGCTGATGAAATGTACTGAAGAGAACCGTTTGAAGCAGCAAGCCCTTGAGAAAGGGTATGTAGAAAAGAGCTCAAAGTCTGGACGATCTGCACAAGCAAAGCCAAAAAATTTGATCGGTAGTTTTCAAATTCCTAGTTACACCAAATCATGCGTTCAAAATCAACATCTTTGACTTTGTATAATCTTTCTATGCATCTGTTACTTCGTTATACTTGCCTATGATTCTGAATATGACTAAAATTGTCTAAAAAGTAGGAATTTGTTTTCATTTTCTCCTTCCAATTTGGACAATGAAGCACCAGCTCATTCAACAACAAATTGCTAACCTTGTCACTTGTTGGTTTGCGTGCACATGTTTTTTCTACTCATAACAACTATTTTGTATTTTCAGAATCCTATTCCAGTGGAGATTTTTTTTATTTTTTATCAAACATTACATGGATAGGAGAATTTGAACCCACGACCTCTTAGAAAAAGTAGAGATACCTAACCGTTACATATGTTCATGTTGGCTACAATTCAGCAACTTTTATGAATAGGAGAGTCCGTGTGTAATCCTGGGCTTTGGGAGATTTTTTTGATCTTCCTCTTTGAACCCTTTGATTTCATTTTCTTCTTTGTGACTGAATTTGATCTTGCATTATGAATCCATCGCTTAAAGTGAAGATAAAAAGGCTATAAAAAAAGTTAATATAAAAGGGACCGGAATCCCCCCTATCTAAGCCCTCGTAGGTTCCTACATTTTGACTTTGTAACAGCCTAACCCCACCACTAGCAGATATTGTTTGCTTTGGCCCATTACGTATTGCCGTCAGCATCACGGTTTAAAACGCATCTATAAGGGAGAAGTTTTCACACTCTTATAAAAAAATACTTTGTTCCACTCTCCAACCGATGTGGGATCTCATAATGTGTTTATCAGGAATAGATTTTTAAACTCTTATAAAGAATACTTTTTTCTCTCTCTAACCAACGTGGGATCTCACACACTTGGTTCACTATTGTGAGTGTGTTCACTATTGTGAATGATTGAGTAACTTTTCCTTGAGATTCACTTTCAAACTCCAAGCTCTTCTACTTTTGGGGTCAAAACTTCTTTTCCCCATAAATGCATTGGTATTGGTTACTTTCAATCGACCCAAAATAATGTATGTCCCCGGACAATTTTTATGAGGCCGGTTTTCCCCTTTTCTTTCCAGTCCTCTTGTGTCCATTTGCAAAGAGAATGTCATAAATGTTTCTCAATTTTTTTGCAAACCCAGTTGATTACTATTGACTGTAAGAGACAACGCTTTCTTCAATCTTCCCACCAACACCTTAACCAATAATTAGTACTAGGAATTACTTTTTTTTTTTAACAAAAACGAACTTCTCAATATGTCAATGAGATGAAACAATAAATTATTGAGTGCTATGTAAATGATAAAAAAAATAAATTAAAATAGCTGTTCTTATTTTTTAAAAAATAATCTATTGATTATTGTCTACCTGAAATCATTACGTTTCTTCTATGCATCTGCAAAAGTTTTAACTTATGAATAATTTCTGATTATTTCTAATGCATCAATTTCTGTTAGAAATCTGTGATGCGATATATTGTTGCATTTGAGGTTTTGTATGTGAGTCAGCTAAAGCTTCGACTACTGGTCATTAATGGTAATATTTGTACTTTTCTTCATTTCCTAATTAAATTAATGAAATTTGTTTCCTTGTAGATGCAAGAGTGGAGAAAGAGGACCCCAAGAACAATGGTATTGCTTATTTTCACACTTTTCTTGAACTCTTTTTAATTTTTTCCTAGTTTTTGTTCAACTACGTTTCACTGTGTTGCTCAAACAATGAAGTATTATTATTTTTTATTTGACCCCATTGGTGCGCCACTTTGCTCAGTAAGTATAGAGAATGTAGTTTTATTGTGGATCTTGGAAATTTTTTAGAATTGCACACTGGCGTGACCTGAAGACCTTACCTTACCTGCTTCAGTACCTTGATTTGGGGAACCTATTTGAAATGAAGGTTTTACCTGATAAGGGAAAGGACAGCCTGAATCTCAGCCTAGCATCTCTTAAAACTTTACAGTCACTTGTCAAGATCGAAGATGAATGTATTTTCTCATCCCAAGACTTTCGAACTACTAACATACATTCCGTCCACAAATTGGAAAGAGCATCATTTGGAACCACTTTTCTTTATTGGCCACACTTTGGTTGGAGGGTTACCACCCTCCTTAGTTTATTAAAAACTAAAATCTTTGTATACCATACTATGAAAATTATTTGTTAAAACTGGCCTCGGCCTCCTTAAATTTTTTGTTCCTTCTTCCCGAGAAAGTCTCCTCTTTGTTTTTTCCCATAGCCAGTTGTAAACAACTCCTGCGATAAATTACAATGCCATTTTCTTCTTCCTGTTTTTGTGACTAAATATGTGCTTGTAATACTTCTATTGTTCTGTTGATATTTGTTGCAGCACCAAAGGGGAAGAAACGAAAGAATGACTCAGCCACCAAGGTTGGTTTTATATCATGAATAGAGATCCAATGTTGTAATTTTGTAAGAAAATGTTTCAGTATAAATTTGTTCAAGCTGTATGTATATAACGAGTTTACTTTTAGCTTCATCTTTCTATGGATTGAAAAGCAAGAAACAATTGTGGTTTTTGATTTTTCCTATCCAGATTTCATAGTAATAGCTTAGGACATTTCATCATTTTCTTTTTCCCATTGTCTTATTTGAAAATAGAAAGCAAAGCAATAAATAAGATGAAGACCATCTATTTGTGCAATGGAATACATTTATCTTTTTCATTCGCTTGAATAAAAAGGAGTTTTGGTTTATTCTTTCCCTTCCCTTCATTAATGATAGAGTTGATGCTGAACTTCTATATTTCTATGTTGTGTGTTGATTCAGTATTTTCATTGTGCTTGTGTTGTGCGCATGTGTATAAATATAAATTATCTGTATTTGCCAACAGTTTTTTAGTATTCATATCTTCAATTGCTCTTAATTTTCTCGACACTCAGTTTTCTTGTCATTATATTTGATAAAATATGGTTCCATGTTTTTCGAAAGGACAATCAATCGGTAGAAAAAGTAATCAAGATTCAAATACCTTCAACACTAAGAAAGCAACTTGTTGATGATTGGGAATTTGTTACGCAGCAGGATAAGGTACATATCGATTAAGGTACATATCAACTGTTTGTTCTCCGCGTTTCTTTTACCTATTACTTGGAGCAAATTGTCTCCTCCTGTAGCCTATCTACAATCGCTAATCGATAAAGGTGTTTTTTGTTATTATTACTCGATAGGACCTTTTTTTTAATCTCATTTCAACATATCAATGAATGATTAATGTTTCCTATAAAAAAAATTGTATTATTGTATGACAGAGGACTCTAAATACAGTTTGCTACTTGGTTGTCAGAAGGTATTAGTAGGTGAAATTTGAACATTTGATGAAATGATTAGGACATGTTCCTTGCACTTTCGCTCTAATAACTGTCATTATACTATGCATTTCTTCACATTCACTTTCGACAATTCCATATCGTTATGTGGATACCTTTTTTGTCTATTTGACACGGCAGTTCACAGATAGCTTATGCTCCAGTTCAACTTACTCCATTTGTCCATATTATTTCTTTTTCATTAAATTAGGTTCCAAGTTTTTGTTGCAAAGTGGAATAGTTGACATTTTTCATTTGCAAATTAAATGTTCCTTAATAACTTTTTTTTTTCTATTATCCAATTTTAACTTAATGATTAGTTTGATGAATTGACCCTTTTAAGAATTTTTCTTGTCACATTAATGCATTAGAGACTTGCCCCCTAAGTTATCCATTCATCTGTCTAGTTAGCATATTGATTTTTCAGATGATTCTGCCAGCTAGTCAAACTTCCACGCTCACCTACAGTTGATGATATTTTGACGAAATACTTGGAATACAGATCCAAGAGGGATGGCATGTAAGTTTGTTTATACCTTACTAAGAATACAAAATGGCATGAATCTGATCATAGTTAAGTGCTTGGATTTAATTTTCTTCCTTACCTGTGTCTATGGATTTTTTTTTTTATATTAGTCTTGTATTGATAACCACGTGTCTTAAACGGCTTAATAATTTTGTTAAATGCTCGGCTGAACGGTGTCTGAAGTTGACAGGGTGAACTTCCTGGAAAATTGGTAATAGTTTTATTTTCTTTTACTTTCATAATTACAGTAATCCAAACTGTTCATATAAATATTTGGATCAGGACTATTTGTAGCATTTTTGGCGCTGTTTGGTTAAGGATATGAAAATAAAGTTGACTTGGTGTGGAAGAAGACCCTAGCCCTTGGAGACACTAGGAGCAGAAATCTTTAGGGAGAGGAAGTGAGTGATTTTTATAGACTGGAAACACTTGTTGGAGGGTGTTCAATAGAAAGATGATAAGAGAGCTGGATTCTTGTTATTTTTATTATCCCTGTTATATCACTTAATAGAGATCTTCTAAAACGGTTTGTAGTTCATAAAATTCCTCATCCTTGCATAGCTGTTCTAGTATATAACACTTAAAAATTAATTTCTTACCTCAGTTCTTTCCTTCAGATGAAATCTGAGCAATTGCTCGTGCTTACAAGACTTGACTTGACTATTTATTCTTCATTGGTATAGGATTACCGACTCACTGGGAGAAGTCTTGAAAGGAATACGTTGTTATTTTGATAAAGCATTGCCTGTACTGCTCTTGTACAATAAAGAGCGTGAACAGTATCATGAATTAGTCGTAGATAATGTCTCTCCATCGACTATATATGGTGCAGAACATCTGCTACGCCTCTTTGGTATGTCAAGGCACATCCTGATCCCCGTACTCATCAGTTTCCAATCCTCCATAATGTTCATTAAGAACGCCACATTTTTTTATATCATTTCTGATTCGTTTAGTTTATTTATTGTTTCTTCAGTTAAGTTGCCAGCGCTTTTGGCATATGTGAATATTGAAGATGAAACACAGATGCGGCTACACCATAAGTTGCTCGACTTTCTGAAGTATCATCGCAAACCTTATAAAATGTTGACACTATATTTACTTTTTGAAATGTGATAGAACAGTGAAACTAAACTGGCACATGCATGCTCACAAATCGTTTTTATAACCATGTACCAATTTTTCTTGATATCTTTGTCTCGTGTTCCATTAGGAGGAATGCTAGGAACTAATATTGAATTAATTTCGGTTGTTTATTAGCCGTGTAATGCTTATTAGTTCTTCTCTTGGATGTAGATTTCTGCAGAAGAATCAGAGTACTTTCTTTGTCTCGGCATATGAGGGCCTTAAACTTAATGAGGGAAAGGGTAAGGGCAAGAATGACTGACAGCGAATCCTTATCGCATGGCATGTACACCTTCATGCTTGCAATTCATAGTCTGGCAGGGAGGTAGTAGATTTCTGTGATGCATGCTGCCTTGGATAGTCAAATCAATCCTCTTGTTGTAACTGTTCAAGCCGTATTTCTTTCTTTCCTTTCTTTTCTTTCTTCCCTCTCTCTCTCTCTTGTTAAAGAATAATTTGTTCGTTTGTAATTGATATTGGTTTGGTGCATGCACTGTCCATTTAAGAGTTCTACTTGAGTAGCTAAATTGCTGTCCACTTTTTTATTTTTAGAAAAGTAGTCCCAACTGCAAGCTTATGACAAGTCGAAATGAACGCTTAAACTGTAATGAAATCCAATCAGAAGCTGTCTTGTGAATTATTTCTTGTACCTTTTTAATTTATCTTTGCTATTTTATTCACTGAATTTTAACGTGTTGGTTGACTATAATCTATCATTTTAATTCAGCATTTCTGGGTGTTGGTTTTCTAGTTCGCTTTTCAATGTCTTTAAATCTTACTCTTTCTTTTTTGGATGATTTTTGTGAGTTGAATTTTTCATCAGTTTGAATGATTTGTTTTTGTTTCTTTTTCTTCTAATTCTGTGTTACTTTTTGTGTGTTTGGTTTTTATAGCCTTTCAATCCGTTGTTGATGTATGGCCTGTTCGTTTAATATTTATCATCAAATACTCCTGAATTTGTTTGATTATTAATCAGGTTGGGTTTCTTCAATTGTAAACTCTGCTTTGTGTCACTTTTTGTTACTTTTTGTAACTTTTCCTTATTTATTAAGACTTTATTTATTTCTAATTTAAGGTCAGTTGTTCACACACTATAATTGTTTGCATTTGTGAGTTGTAGACTGTGAATGTGATCAGTTTGTGATGTTCTACGGATATGGTAAGATGATCGAAGGGTTGAACAGGAAATAAAGAAAAGACCGAATACCCTGTAACCCACAATTCATAGTGGAATCAGTTTCATAAAGTTTCAAGTTCTTGTCGTTTCATGAGGAGAAGAAGAGTTTCCAAATCATGCTCAAATATTGAATGACTGCCACGAAACTGTGAGTCAATTAGATTCCGTCATTTTCTATTAGATTTCTGTCATTTTCGATACACGATGCTACAATAATTTTCTGGTTTGTAATGCCTCATGGGTGAGTCAATCGGATTTGTATCATTGCATCCATCCTCAAGCCAGTTGAGCTGTATGTGAATAATAAATTTGAGTGAGGGGTTTATACACTGTACAGTTGATTGCTCGACTGAAACTTGTTATACATGATGTTTTAGGTTCAATCTACAATAGCCACCTGTCACATGGCTAAAAAACATCCTTGTGACACTACCTATGACTCCCAAATGTTGTAGAGATTGTCATCCCAAATGTCGTCATATGAGATTGGTCGAAATACACAGAAGTTCGTTCGGACTCTCATAGACATAAAAAAAATTATATGATGTTTTGGATTTTAGGCCATTTTTATGGTGTACAGTGATGGGCAAACTTTTAAGGATGATAAAGGTCTAAAGGGAATGAATGAGGTTTTTGTCATCACTTTTTTTAGGATGTGAATAGTTGCCATCAAATGGTTGGTTGGTTAGATACAATCCGTCTGATAATTTATTGCCTGTGATTGTAGGTGAAGCTTCAACTACCAATATATGAATTTTTTTCTGGGATTAAACTCCGACTCCTCAGAGAAAAGTAATGGGTGCTTTTATTGCCTGTGATAATTATGTTTGAATTTAACTTGTATATTAGCTCAGATGACTCGAAGTCATAGAGGTAATAGTCATTAGTGCACAAACCTGGCCTCTTCTGTTAGAAATCTCTTATATTTGAGCATGCCTGTACACAAATATTTATTACTAGTTTTCTTCATAATGTTAAACATTGCATCATTCTTGAATAATATTGGTATGTCCAAGAGTAAATGACATTAGTTTCCATACAGCAGCCATGGTGCTATAAAGGCTAATGACAGTGATTGACTGACCACATATTGATGGATCACTCAACCTTTATTTAATTGGTAAATATATTACTATTAAAATCTTTGTTCATTCTCAACTTTGGAAAACTGTGTGCTGTAGAGGAAATGATGTAAGCTAATTTAGCAAGTTCAGTGTAGACCAGACCTTCTCATTCTTTATTTCTTAAGTTTGTTTGGTACAGCCATTATGTTCCAAAAGGTTACTAATGTGACCAAGTGGCTCTTGGCGACAAAACTACGGTACTTTGGACCCATTTTTCGTTCTTTTTCAAATCCTTTTACTTTCCGTCACAAAACTAAACTCAACTGCATTTAAACCCTCCCTAATCTAAGCATATTTAAAAGCAATACATATAAAGAAATTACCCATTTGATTCTCTTTATTGGGTTGATGATGTTTTTTTTAATGATGATTCTTTTTAAAGCCGCCTCCTCTTTTTCTTCTCTTAACAGTGCCTCAAAAAATGAAATTTGTGTACTTTGCCTCCTTTTCAAAATTATTTTATATTTTCTTTCATGCCTAGAGCGTAATCATACATGAGTAAAGATGCATGTATCTGAACAGAAATGCATATTTATCTATATATAAGTATGTATGCAGTATATATGAAGATATAGTATATGACAGTATAAAGTAATTACGGTGGACAATGTGATTAAAACATAAATCTTTTAAAATAATAATGAAACTGAGTTCCAGAATTTGTTTATAAAAAAGTGTTTTGAGGTTGGAATGGTGTTCATTCTTTAAAGGATTCCATGAAGCAATTCCCGCATAACTTGGCAAAACGAACTGTATTCCAAATTCTGTTTGAAGAGAGCTTTTAACGAAACGAAGATAATACTTGTTCAAACGCTTATCCAAAGAAATAAAGTTATGATTTTTGGAATGACCTCCATCTCTCCAAGTGGGAATCTAATGATTTTTAAAATAAATATATTATCCCTAACAGGATTGCTTTCAACTAAAAAGAAGATTCAGCTTAAACAAAGCTCCAACATTGAATACGAGGGAGGGATTGATGTGTTCTGTAATTTTGATTTGGTGGGTTTTTTTTATGATGATGTGGTCTTCGAAATGAGAGACAAATAGCGTCAAGAATGGAAGGCAAAGTTGGTATACACACGATTTTTAAAACTCCCACGACTTTTTCCAGTTTTAGGGTCCATATTATACCTTAATTCCAACGAACTTCTACCTCTGTTCTGTTTCCTGTCTGTAACGGAAGAGGAACTTCCCCCCTTCTCTTTTTGTTTCATTCCCTTCTCTGTACATTCACTAATATTATTTCCTTCAGAAACTACAACGAAAAAGAGTTGAAAATTGGGAAGACAATTAAGCTCCCAGATTTGGTTCTGTTCTTCTCGGTTCTCATTCTGCTTCAGAATGTTGTAACTTCTGCGATCATCAATCTAATCTTAATGCTAATCAACAATTCTTGATGATGAATCACAGTTCGCTTAAAAACCGACGTTCCTAATCCCACCAGCTTTAGCCTGCTGAAAACATCCTCTTCCTCTCTTCTCCGACATCCCTTCCATATAGCTTTTCACCTCTGATTTTATCATCTCCTGCATCACCGCCATTAAATCTGCACTGAAAACTCCAAGCCCATTCTTTTTCTCGTGTGCCCCACCACCGCCTCTTGTATCAAGCTGCGCTGCCTTTGTCAGCTCCGATGCCGCCATGCTTTGTATTTGAGCAAATGCCGCCATTAGAGGCGCCTGCGCTGTTGAACCACTTCCGCTGCGGTACAAGCCGTTTCCGACGCCGCTCGCACCAGGTAGAGATAACGACAGAGACGTCGCCAGGTCTGTAGCGGGGGACAGTGCCGATTCTCCAGGAGGTATAACACTGCCGGTTCTGGCAACAGGGCGGTAGACGGTCGGAGACATAACAGGAACACTAGAGTCGCTTATATCAGATCCTGATGGACTCCCGGGGTTCATGTATAGCCCGTTAACGGCGGCGCCGGCGCTGACCGATTTCTTCATAGGTTGGCTGTTTGGATCCGCTTCAAAACCCTCATTCATCATCGACGAACACTTCCTCTTCAGCGTCGAATTCCAGTGGTTCTTAACGGCGTTATCCGTCCGGCCATAGAGAAGCCGAGCAATGGTAGCCCATCTATTGCCGAAGTTAGCATGAGCTCTGATAATGGTCTCGTCCTCCTCCGGCGAGAAGGGGCGGTGCTCCACCTGAGGAGAGAGCTGATTGCACCAGCGAAGGCGGCAGGACTTACCGGAACGTCCGGGAATGGATTTGCTGATGAGGGACCAATTGCGTGGACCATGCTTCTGGACCAGTCCACGGAGGGCGTCGTCTTCCTCAGGACTCCACGGACCCTTGATCCGATCCATCTCTTAACTGGTAACCGCCACGAACGATTAGCAATAGAATGATTTTAAAAAAACATGAAGATCGAGATACTGAGGTTTCGATGGGTGTAGGAGGTCAGGTCTGTTTGTTTGGCTCGCTTCCTCTATTTCTCGTTGCGTAGGGTTACTGGAGCAGGAGACGGCTAGGAGGTGGGGTTCTTATAAAAGAGATGAGACGGGCAACCGAGTAAGCCGGTGGCCTCGTTTCGAAGCAAATAAGACACGTTCCGGTAAGTGCCACTGCGGTTGCGATACAGCTGGCAATGAACACGCGTCGCGTTTTAACCTGCATTCAATTTTATAACAAAATCTCTCGCTTTTAATTTTGCTTTTCTTTTATTTTTGTTTTTTCAGTTTCTTTCTCTCTTTCAGGAAAAACAAAAAAAAAAAAAAAAAAATTGAAAATTGAAAAAGATAACGCTCGTCAATGGCGCGTGCGCGATACCGCGGCAAACCTTGTGCTGCAACTCTTTCTGTGCCTCCGCCTTCAATAATTAACACCAATCCACCTTCTATCCTCGCCGTCCACTTTTCATTTTTCAATTCCACGTGTGCGTAATCCCACTTGCCACGTCTATAATCGTTCCACCTTCATTTTGATCACCGGCCATAACAGTTTTGATTTTATTTCTTTTATATATGTGTATATATAGATACAAATTAATAACAATTTTTTTTATTAATAAATTCATTTAACACATATAATTAAGGCCAAAAAGTAGTTTTTAAAAACATCGCCATTTTCACTCATTAATTACATAGATGGTTTAATTATTCTAATTACCCCTTCATTTATGATTGGATTTTATATTTCAACTTTGTATTTTAGTCCTTTGATAATTCTTAATTAATATCTGAATATATCATTTGGTCAATTAATGGAAAAAAAAATAATGTAAAAATATCTACCCATTTAATAAAGCTATTTTTTTAAAAATAGAAAAATGAAAGCCACATAATATTTGGATGGACTAAAAACAATGATTAAAAATTGGCTTGGTCCAAAGTAAGGAGTAGTCGCTCTCCCACTTTGATACTGAACTCCCATACCCATTGCATCATTTCTCTATTTCAATTATTATTCATTAAAAAAAACAAAAAAAAAAAACTGCATATTCGATTGGTTTATTTCCAAAACTTTGAAATTATTTAAACATTGTGACATAGTTATTTGTATTTATAAACTAATATTATTTTAAGTATTGAAAGGGTAATAAAATAAGAGAAGCTTGAGAGCGAAGATAAATGGGAGAGAGGTAAAAAAGAAACGTCTCTGACTCCCCCACTTTGACTCCTTTCGCCAGCCTGTCTACCATTTTCTTCCACCCAATTTTTAAGATTTTTTTATTTTTGTGGAAGCTTAAAAATTAAAAGAAAAAGAGAAAGAGAAAGATATGATGATGTGGCACAAAACGACAATTAGGGACGCCGAATCGGGGAGCGAATAATTATTATTGCTGCATTTGTGTCAGTACAGGCTGTAAACCTTGGCAATATCATCACCTCCACCACTCTCCCGCGCCCACGTACTTAACTAACTTTCCCAACTTTTTTTATCGCACCGACACCCGCCGGTCATGCTTCCTATCGTCTTTTCCTTTTACTTCTCTCTCTACGCTATTTTTTTTTTCCTTTTTTAAAAACACTTTCGACCCAGTGCTAAATTTTAATATGTAATATTTAGTTTTTTCACACCTTTCATTGAATTTCATTCACTTTTTTACTACTTGGTTTGGCGTTTGTGGCGTAGGAAATTAACAAAAGAAATTGATATTTTTAAAAAATATATATTAGGACACAATTATAAAAGTAAATGAGACATGAACGAACGAGTAGCCTCATGTTATTAAAATATCTCTGTACGATATATATTATTTGATTTTGCACCTATCATTGATTTAGAGCTTGGTGCGCTTGGATTTATATAAAGAGTTGATTTAAATTTGAATGTTTATTATAATTTATAGAGTAAACATTAAAAATATAAAAAGGACCAGTAACGGTAAGGTATAGAGGCAAGAAAGAAATACGGAGAATGAAATAATTGGGTTTGTAAGGGTAATAAGGGGCAAAACAGCTGGAAAACCTCCTAACTACTCATCCCCCACTTCCTCGTTACCATTTTATTTATTTATTTATTCTCTCTCACGTGCTCTCCTCAACCGTACAGCGTACCCACGTGCGGCTTTGCGCCCTCTGAAGGCGGCACACCAACACACTTGCCATTTTCCTTTAGTCGTTTTGCCTTTGCCCACGAGGACATTAAAGTAATTCCCACCACCAGGGATCTGCTTGCCGTTTGGCACCGGAAAATCTTTGTATTCTAATATTATATATATATATATATATATATATATTTTTGTGTAATCAAATATAATAAACACTGTAATTATCTCCCCGGATCTTAAGCACCCCATCAACCACCACCCATCATATTTTATTTATTTATTTATTTATTTATTTATTTAATTATCCTAAATCCAAAAACGAAATCATTGTCCATTAATTGGAATTTAAGATTTAAGTCTTTTTTTGAAACGTTTAAAAATTGGAATATTTGGTGGGTAAGATGAGAGATTATATTTGAAAAAAGAAAAAAAAGTAATGGCACGTGGGAAGGGAACGGTTGAGGAGGCTTCTTTGCACATGTACGGAGTCGGTATGGGCAAGCAAAACCGTTTGACCTTGTTTCTTTTTTAAAAAACAAAATGTATTTAATTTTTTTAGAGATAATTGCAACAAAAAGAAAAAAAAAAAAAAGAGTTTGTAATGAGTTGAATGCATTTATATATGTAGTGAAACTAGTGAAAGAGATGAGATAAGATTGGGAAGGCCACGTCATGTGATTCGCTAGCTGTAACGCATTCAGGTTTTGTGATTAAGTGATACGTGATTGGGTGAAGAGGGTAGGAGTAGGAGGAGCCATAATGGACCTATTTATTAGTCTTCATTCACACAATTCTATATGTTTTTGCACAAATCTCTATACATTTATTTATTTTTCATTAAAATCATTTTGTATTTAATACCTTTTTAATCTTTAAAAATTCTAGCAAGTATTTTAATTTTTCTTTTATTTTACTGGTGTCTCTTAATTTAAAAATGGGTATGGCGGTTTGTTTAATGTCTCCGCCTTTGTTTTCTTCGCTCAAATGCTTTATTGAATATTAAAAAGAGTGGCTTCTTTTGGGCCGCAGTCTGGCCCATGTTCTTCATCCTTCTGTGAAGAGATTTGGGTATCAGTAGAAATGGCGGTGGCTGTCTCCATTTCTGCGATCGATCCCAAACTCTACATCTTCCACCACCACTTTGTTTTCGGATTTCGAGTTTTGTATTACAGTTTTTATGGGACTCTGATTTTGAATGTAAATGGGGTTGATGTTGATGGCCAGGGGAGGTGTATTTGTACGGAACGTCGGCGGTAGTGCGAGTGCCGGAGGATCTAGAGGAGATTGCGGCTACTCCAGAATCGATAAGCGTTCTAATGAGAGTTTCCAAGACTGTGTCGAGCCGAATGGAGGAGAAGAGGCGGAATTGAAGGCGGAGTAATCTTGCTGTGTACGGACGGCGGTTTGCCGGGGATCAAATTTCACTACATTTCTAGTCTATATCCTTCCAAATGGTATAATTTTCTTTTCAAAACCCATATTTTAATAATTTTGAAAAAACCACGATTTATGTGAAATAAATAATAATAATTTAATTTGCATAAAAATTTCTCAATTACAAAATACATCTTAATGGGCTGGCCCAAAAAGTTACTGTTTTCCGGTATAGTAGAGGGGCCCAATAGGCCCATGTATAGGTGGGGCGACCGCTCCTGACGGCGTGACGTTTCATTTTGAATTATTAGAAATCCCGCTCCTCCTCCTTTTTTAAATTCCCCTCCTCAGGGAGCCGTTGGCAACCGACCCAGTTCCATTGTCTTCGCGCCTGCAACTCCAGAGAGAAATAGTTTCACAGCCGGTGACAAAGCCCGACGAGTTTTTGTGGGAGAGATTCAGAGCCCTAAGAAATGGCGACAAACATTGGGATGATGGATTCTGCGTATTTCGTTGGAAGATCTGAGATCCTCGCGTGGATCAACTCTACTCTTCACCTTAATCTTTCCAAAGTCGAGGAGGTTTCTCCCGAAACTCCTATGGCGTTACTTCTTTTGTTCGTATTTGTTCTGAGCTTTTTTTTTTTTGGAAATTCTGTTTATTTGACCCTTGTTATGGATTCTTGAATTGTAGGCATGCTCTGGTGCGGTTCATTGCCAATTGATGGATGCGGCTCACCCAGGGATGGTGCCGATGCACAAGGTCAATTTTGATGCGAAGAGCGAGTACGAAATGATCCAGAATTATAAGGTCCTCCAAGATGTGTTCAACAAATTAAAGATCACCAAGGTATCCTTTTTAATAACCCCCTTTGGTATTATCCATTATTCCTACAACTTCACAGATTAATTCTGTTTCTGTAAGAAATATTCCAACTTATTATGATTTTGGATTGGGTTCTTTATATCTGCTCTGTAGTTGATCTGTACTTAGTTACTGTCTTCCTTGCAATGTTGTAGCATATCGAGGTGAGCAAGCTTGTGAAAGGAAGGCCCCTTGATAATCTGGAGTTCATGCAGTGGATGAAGCGTTATTGTGATTCCGCCAATGGAGGTGTTTTGCAGTGGTAATCTGGTCTATTACCTGCTACAGTTTTCAATTAACCAATATTGAGTTTTTGTTTATAAGGGTTGCGGTAACCATGCTACTTTTAACTCATAATTACTTAATCTGACCCCTTTTGGAGCTAACATGCAAATATTTGATGATTTGAACCAAGTAAATTCACAATGGTCAACTTCAATGTTTGAAAAGTGATGATCATAAAGAAGTTATTAGTCTGTTAATATTAGATCGTCAAATTACACTACAACAGTTCATATGTTGATGGTTCAATTTTGTTTTCTTTTTAGTTATAATGCTTTGGAAAGGAGAGAAGCATCCAAGGGTGGAAAGGACGCAAGCAAGAAGAGCACTACATCACATTCTTCTGCAAAAGGTTCAACAGCTGCTGCATCCAGGGCTCAGGTCTCTCAGAATGCTCGGAGAAATGAGGCATCAGTGAACTCTGGAAATCAGGTAGCAAATGTTTCAAAACCTCCATCCAATGGAGTATCTGCATATGATGAACAGGTATCTTCTGAAGCTGCGTGAACTTTGATAATATGGACGAAAAGAAACTGGAGAGTGCATATTTACTTACTAATGTAAAATGCAGATCACGACGTTGAAACTGTCGATCGACAGCCTTGAGAAAGAGAGGGATTTCTACTTTTCTAAGCTAAGAGATATTGAGATACTCTGCCAGAGTCCACAGATTGAAAGTTTGCCTGTACTTGTTTCTGAAATTCTCTGTTTTGTATCTGCATTTTCTTCGGTCTATTAGAATTCCAAGCCCATGAAGTTGAGCGTTTTGATTTCGTTTCTTTTCAGGCTGTAGGAGCTATAAGGAAGATACTGTATGCTGTTGATGATGATGCATCAGTGGTGGCAGAAGCTCAAGCTATGTTGTCCGTTCACCAGAAGGAAACGATAGATCTTTTGAGTCCAATTGCTGAAGCGTCTGATGAGAAGCTAAGTTTAGAATCCCAGAAGAGAAAAAGTGTAATCAATTTTGATGTAGACGCTGTTGGCATGACAACTTTGTCTCCCAGGCGGAGGGTATCTGATGCTTCTGATGTTCATTGCAGTGGGTCACCCCTTATGACATACTGATCGAGGCATTCTTTTGTAACCGTGCAATTCCTCAACTACTATTCTAGAGTTGTTCTTATGTGTCCTGTTTGTTCAGAACGTTTTCATGTGGTTGTTTTTAATGAAGAATTGCTGGAAGACCCTGAAATGAAACAACCCAACTCTATGGGTTCGCTCCTTTTCCTCTTCCCGCTAGCTAACCCAAGAATTCGTCCAAGTAGTTCATATCAATTAGATTCAGTTTTTAAATGTTTCAAAACCCCATTTTAATAAATATTCCACCGTTGGAATTGGTACTTGGAATTTGACATAAATATTTTTTATAATTCCCTTTTTATTATTAAAAAAATTCCCTTTTATTTTCTTTTTAATAAATTTGAAAAGTAAGAAACATGGAAATACATTTCAAAGTTTGTTTTTTTAAATTTAAATTTCAAAGTTTTGATCTTGGAGTAATTTTTTTTTTTATTAATTTAGCCTAAAAATAAAAAATGAAAACAATAACATAAAATTATTTTAGGTTTACGTTTATCCAACCCGAAAACCCGACCCTAATGCCGGTCGCTTCTTCTTTATCAACAGCTCCCTCGAAGACATAGGCAGACTCCGCGGCGGGAACGCACCCACTCTTTTCGCAGTTGCAGTCGTACTTCGAATTCCGGAGCGTTTCCAATGGAGGACAAGATCTCTACAGCAGAGAAGAAGGTACTCACTTTGTTCTTCAACCTGTCTTTACCATTTATGTGCTGTTACTTAATTGGTCCGCAGGGTGTATGCCTAGTATTTTGTGGAAGGCTGGAGGCGGCTAAATCTGTATAAAAAGCTCTTACCTTTTCTTTTTTTTTTTTCTCTTTGTAGGTGCTTGTCGAGATGGTGCGTTTGACCCAAAAGCGAGGAATGAGAGGTAGTGAAGGAGACTGGAAGGAGTTTCTTATCAGTCGTGACCCTAAGTTCGGGGCTAGCATGTGCGACCCGTCTAAGAGGCCCAATGATTTGTTGATTGCTTTTCTCAAGACATTTAGCAAAGAGGATGATTTGATGGTAACGAATCGTTCTCTGTCTATCACAAACACTACGGGAAGTTTGTGTTATCTGCTTTCTCAACTCTTGTTATTTTCCAAACTAAGACTGACATAAATCACGTGTATGTTTTTGTTATCAGTTCTTGGATAAAATTCTCCAGTGTAACGAGAAGCGCAATGTTGTGAAGCAAGTATCGCAGAAAACTTCCGACAATGAATCACCCGAGCAGGTGGGGTTCTTTTTGCTGGAGGATCAATACCCACAGCGACGAATTTTTCTATCTTAGTTACTTATATTTGATCATTTCAATATTTTCCTGAAAGTATTCCACATGTTTTCTATTGCACCACTTCCTTTGAATGTTTCACTTATTAGCTATTTTTCCTTTCGTAATCATGCTACTTCTGCAATGCGCAAAACTTGTGACAGGTGATCTTGAGCTTGAGCTCTTTCAGGCGTATAAATGAAACCTTAATCTGTTTGTCTCGAATTATTGACATGCTCATTCATAGCATTTGGTCTAATTGTTCCAGTAATCATTATGCAAATCCATCGTTTACTAGTACAGTCAACTTATCCTAGTTTATTATCGACTTTCCTTGTATTATTTTTATTTTATTTCCATTCGTTTGTATGTAATTCTCTTGTAAATTTTTTTAACCCATCATTATGGCCGTGCAGAGGCTGGTTCGGCTTACACTCGAACACCCACAGTATCCATTAGAATATTCATTCCCATCATATGAGAAGGTAGGATGTCAACTTCTGTTTTGTGCGCAATCTTTTACCTGTTTTGTTAATGGACTAACAAACTTTCCATTTTAATATGTAATGTTTTCTATAGTTACCAAGTTATTGCGTATCTTTCTTGAATTGTGTTGACTTGTGGGTCTGATTTTGAAGGGATGGATTGTTACAAAATTCAGTCAAAAGTCTAAAGCACTGAAGTCAAATGCAATATATGCCATTGATTGTGAGATGGTTCTCTGCGAAGATGGAACTGAGAACTTGGTGAGGGTTTGCATGGTGGATCGCGACTTACAAGTATGCTCTTGATCTTTATGTCTTCTTGTAGGCTCTATGCGCACCTCCGTTTATACACACACACATAATGAAAAACAATGGTACTATATGTTTGCTAGTATATAATATTTATGATCTCAATAGATTTTCTCAAACCTTTTATGATGAGTGTAGAGATTTCTCTGTAGGTGAAAATTGATGAACTTGTAAATCCTAGAAAAGCAATTAAGGACTACAGAACTGATATAACTGGAATTTCTCCGGGGGATTTGGATGGAGTTACTTGTTCTTTGGTTGATGTTCAGGTATTTGAGTTTGTTTCGTTTGAGGATGGTTCACTCTTGCTTGAACATGTATGATCTAATATTCTTTGTTCAAATTGTAGAGATCCATTACAAAATTATTGTCACATGGAACTATTTTGGCAGGCCACAGTCTGAACAATGACCTGCAAGGTAATCTAAGAATGATCATCAGTATTTGTTTTCCTTCAATTCTGTAAGGGCCATATTTTTTATTTTTCAAGTTCATCTATACTTCTCCAAAAGTTTCAATTTCATTAAAATTTATGTGTTAAGGTTTTTTACTCTACTTCTTAAGTTGAGTATACGTAATAATTTATTTATAAATAGACGGAGTTGCAGTAAAATATATTTAATTGTATTGTAGTAACATTTTGTTTAATTTGATGGAAGATGTATGAATGTAACATTAAAAATATATCCACCTCGTTTAATTAAATTTGTGATATCTTACCCAACTCAAACTAGGTTGCTATTGCAAAAAATTGGACCTTAAATTATACCATACTAATGACTAGTCGCCTGTTTTTTTTAAAGGATTCTATCTTAAGATTTTCATGTCCTCATACCTTTAATGTTTATTGATGTTTATTGACATAAAAACTGAATTAAAACTAGTCATGTATGGGACCTTCGAATGCACGAGCATATGGATTCCCATGTTGAATATCCAAATTCCTTGCACACAAATGGCTTCTTGAAAATTGTGTGTATTGCGTACCCTGACATTTGTTTATTCTCTGTCCTTTGTTCTTTTATTACTACAGCACTTAAATTAGATCACACGAGGGTGATTGACACTTCATTTATCTTCAAGTATTCCAATGGATCTATCTATAGAAGACCTTCTTTGAATAAGCTGTGTAAGGCACGTGTAAAATAAATGTTTTTCATAGTTCATGTTATTGAGTATTTTTATTTCTGCAAGGGCATTTATTTGCCTAATTGAGAGCATTCGTCTCTCATAGTTCTTTTTTTTTTTTTTTTTTTTTTTTTTTTTTTTTTTTTTTTTTTTTTTTTTTTTTTTTTTTTTTTTTTTTTTTTTTTTTTTTTTTTTTTTACTTTGGCAGTCTGTCTTGGGCTATGATCTTCGGGAGGAGGGTGCTTCACATAATTGTCTGGATGATGCTCGTGCTGCCATGAAACTTGTTCTCGCAAAACTTGAGAGTAAAGCTGATGATGTGATTGCTATAGTTGATGAGGATGTAAGAATAGGGATTTTCCAACCCAATCACAGTAGAGCTTATGTTTGTGCTCATATATTAATATTAGTTTTTCTTTATATACTGCAGACACCTCAAATTGGTATGGAGAAGTTACTTCTTCATCGAATACCGATTAATGTACCAAGTGAAGCATTAGCTGGAGTTATTCCTGGTGACTTCACCATTGAACTCAAGGTTGAGTATGCTACATTCAATTCATATGGATCCATAGATATACATTACTATTAAATTTTTGTGATAATCTCCATGTCATATACATAGTCAATAGTTTTTTAATGCACAACGTAAATCCAGTCTCTCTATTGAGCTCAAACCTCCGATGATTTCCACGAAAAGATCATGCACACAGTTCACTACTGTAGGTTTAGGATCCAATACACTTTTGAATGATAGCTTATTGAATGGGTCCTTTATGGATTAAGAAAGTTGAGCGGCTGGGGTGGGGTTGTGGTGCGAAACTATAAGTTGAGTGGCCAGGCAAGTTATCTCTTAGCTGAGCAGTTTAACTAGTGAACCAAATATCTATTGTGTAAACAAGATGATCCATTGTGCAGTGTCTATATTCTTCTCCACCTACCACCTTTTATCAATGAATTTTATGTTTTGACGATTGATTTTCCAACAGCCACCTAAGAGAGGTCAAGGGGGGGATATATACTCTGCATTTGCGGTTTTTAAGAATTCCAAGGAGGCACGACAAGCATTCGAACAGATTGAAGGTAACCCAAATGAGGTAATTGTGAACGCACACATCTCTATTTTTATGTGGAATGATTTATTTTCTTCATTTGTTATGCTTTCCTTGTTCCCTTATAATACTGACAGTCTGACACTCAATACTTTGCCAAATCCTCACCAAATTAGTTCATCATATTCCAAACTGGGAAATGGGAAATAATTTGAGCACAATTGCCTGGTTGGTTTTACTGATTATATTATCCACTCCTGCCATACAATCAGGACTCATCTGGACGCCCACAAAAGCTTGTCAGGTTTCAACGTTCAGGGTCCATTGTCAGTATCTTTGTTCGCACAATGGGAGCAAATGATTTTGCTGAAAAAGTATCATCGAGAAAGAGGGACCTAGAGGTGATTGAAAGCCTAGTAATGTCCAAAAAACAGAAGACTGACCAGAAAATTGAAATGGAGACAATTTCAAACTCGAGTAGATGTTGCAACCATGTGGAGGAGGTTGAAAGGTTGAAGCAAGAATTGAAACAAAAGGAGGACTCGAGTCACTGTTGTGATCACTTGAAAGAGGTTGAGAGCCTGAAAGAAGACTTGAGAAGGAAGGATTATGAACTTAGTATCCTGCGTAAAGCTATCACCGTGGGGAAGAAGGAAAACAGGAAGAGAAAAGGAAAGAAGTAAATTTTGCTCTGGATCAACTCTATCTTCTTCTGATTAATTTTTTACTTGGAAGGCGTTGGGGAAGTTATGCAAAGACTCGGATTCAGTGTTGTAGATTATTTAGTCTCGGTTGTCTTTAATTTTGTTGAGGCAGTCTTATCTCAGACAGATGAAATGCATCAGAGAAGGATATAATCCAGTGTCATATTATATGTGTGAAATATCAACCTCGAGTCACATAGAGAGTGGGTTATATCGAATCTAGAATGTTACCTAGTCTAAATGCATGACACCTCATCCATAATACATTCCTCGATGGGAGGCCGAACTTGCATTGTTGATGAATCCATTCAACTAAAACTAACATAAAGTATACATCATTCAACTAACATAAAAAAGTTTGTTTGGAGAATGTTTCTTCACTCCGTTTTAAAGAATGTTTCGTTCTTCTCTTTAATCGATGTAAGATTTTACAATCCACCCATTTTGAAATCAAGCATCCTCGTTGGTACTCGTTTTTCTCTCCAATTGATGTGAGATTTAACGACCTAGCTTGGGGGCACTCGTTTCTAATCTTTAGACCTACCTTTGAGGCCAAACGTCCTTGTTGACATTCGTTGGGCTCACTTACCATCCTCTCTCCCATTTTAATTAAATTAAATGTTAGTATAATAATAATAAAAATTAAAAAGAAAAAACTATTTTAATCTATTTCACAATGAACAATTAAAATGAAAGGTTCGTATTGCAAAGTGCAATATGGTAAAGTATTGACTTGGGGAGTTGCGAAGCGGAAGCGCCAAGGATCGGTTTAAAAAGAAAAAAGAGAAAAAAAATTGATCGAGGGGAATCAGCCCGCGAACGACGGCCAGTTCGTCAACCCACCCTACCTTGGCAAATGGCTGAAGGGAGATAATTACAGATACAAACGTAGGAACGGGGAAATCAAATCTCGAGTATATAAATTGGGCGACGACGGTTGCCGATACTTTTGAGTCCCAATGGAAAGTGAAGCGGCTGGCGTTGGTCTCAACGCCGCAGAAGGTGTCTCTTCTACCACTCTCTTTGCACGGTGGAGCCATGCCGTTTCCCGGCGGTATCAGCACCTTCTCGATAGGTGTACCCCGTACATCTTCTACCGTTGGATCGCCTGTTTTTTCGTCGCCTCTATCTATGTCCTTCGGGTTTACCTCATCGAAGGATTCTACATCGTCTCATACGGTCTCGGAATTTACATCCTCAATCTTCTAATTGGGTTTCTCTCGCCCCAAGTGGATCCTGAGATCCTGGATCTCCATGACGGCCCTGCGCTTCCCCTCAGGGAATCCGATGAGTTCCGCCCTTTCGTTCGTAGGCTTCCGGAGTTCAAGTTCTGGTGCGTCCAGGTTTCCGATTCGTTGCATTTTTTCCTTCCCATTTTCAATTTGAGCCATCGCAGTGTCTTTTGATTGAATACTCTGATATATATGTGAACCATGCGATCGGGAATTTGTAGTGTAATTACGAACTGTCGAGATTTGCTTAAGCTTTAGGAGATGGGTAACTGTTGGATTGGAGTCATGAGCTTTATTAATGATTGGGGGTCGGAATTCTTTTAACTTTTCACCCATAGTATAGGATTTGATCAAGATTGGTGCCTGGGATCTCTGGATGGTTTTTGTGTTTGATATTTCATATGTTTGCTGAGTTTGTTCCCATTTAATTTTGAGCCCAGAATTTGACCTTTTCCCGCAATCAGAAGTTTGTGGATATTCTATTTATTTGAACTAGGTATATTTTAAAGGGTTGCGCTCCGGGTTCTAGACTCCTAGCTAGCTCTTGACCCATGTCATTGTCCATTTAAGAGAACCGTCTTTGCTCCCTCAACCCTGCGCCCAAGAAGTTATTTGATCAACTGGCTGTCACTTGTACATCATTGGATTTCAGAGGAAGAAATTCAAAAAAAAAAAATAAAAAGAAAAAATGTTAACCATGTATTTAATGATTTTAAAAGTAACTACCATATTGATTAATTTCTCTGCCCTCTAGAATTTGGAGACAAACCAAAATATAAAGAAAAAACCTTGGCTAGATTCCTTGCAACTTTAATCAAGCTGGTTGATACTTGCTGTAAATATCTAAAAGGTTCTGACCTATAGGTTAAGATGTATGACGTTTCCTATAAAAGATATTGTTTCAATTATTCAGCATCTTTTCTTCATGATAGAACCTCGGGATTTTGATGTTTCTTTTTACAATGTTTCTAATTGTGTGCAATTTTCATACCTTTGTTCTCAACCTTCATGTTTCACATTTATATTACTTCCAGCAGCATTGCAGCTATTGGATAGGATCGATCTTTAAGCTGTTAAACATTGAGTTTTATTCTCGAAAACAAAAATATTCAGAAGAAAGTTCCCCGTAATGTAATATGATACAAATCCTCTGTTTATTTGCATACTGATGGCCTGTGTTTATTAAGGTTTAGTTTTAACACAATTGACTGCCTAATCTACTAATATATATTTTTTTTATAAAAAAGAATTGCTACCATCAAATTTAATCATGTAGAAAACAGATTCCATCGTCTTGGACTGGGCTTTATCCTTAGTGTGAATCTGTTTTTCAATTGCAATGGTGCATGCAGATTTTCGAGTTTGTATTCAACAGTTATTAGGGACATTATAGCTTCCTCATCCAATAAGTTTTCTATTTTTAGCTTATAGATCAAAATGACCAATGAAAGAAGAATTCTAACTTTTGGTAATGCTTCCTTCCTTTACACTTTGAAGGTACTCCATCACAAAAGCCTTCTGTATTGCTTTTTTGATGACATTCTTCAGTGCATTTGATGTACCTGTATTTTGGCCTATCCTTCTATTTTACTGGGTGGTGCTGTTCACTCTCACCATGAGGAGACAGATATCACACATGATCAAATATAAATATGTCCCGTTCTCCTTTGGTAAACAGGTATGTTCTCTGTTTTCATGGTCTTCTTCCATTCATCATGTCCCATGCAATTATTAACTAACGATGCTCTTTACTTGATAGCGGTATGATGGAAAGGGTGCAGCTTCGAGCGACACCAAGAGCCTTCTGAAGGATTGAAGTCTTTGGGTAGATTAATAGTAGTAATTATTTCTATTAAGTAGAGAACTGGTAAACTTTATTTATTCTGCTGTATTCTTGTTCTCAGTTAGTTCTACACGAGGAGAAGGCGGTAAGAGATAATTGTACTGAAGATAAGTTAGGCTGATCATCTGCTGCTGGTTTTTTCATTTCCCCTCATCTTTGTACTTCTTTGGATGTTCCTATGGAAAATCAAGTTTCGGGAAGACATAGTATGATTTCTGAATTTTCCCTTCTCTCCTTGACAGATGATATCCTTCGGTCGTAAAGATTGAAAAATCACTGTAATCCCCATTCATCTGTAGGAAAAGCTATTTTAACGTCGAATTTCTTCTGAGCTTCTACAAGTTCTCGAGTAAAGAAGCAGCAAAAGCCAAACTTCTTTTGATATCGTGAAAATATTATGGGCATTATAGAAATAGTAGCCTATGAAAGAGTGAATCTAAGACAGAATTTACGCCATTAGTTCAATTAGATGTTACCACAAAAAAGACCAAACAAAGTCATCTCATCTGGGCTTCATGTTACTCTGAAAATTCAAAGGCAGCTCCATCCACAACATAATCAAAATGAAAACTACTTTCGTATTACAAAACCAATAACACAATTCCATCAGCTATTTGAACTGAGCTGGAAAACCAATCCAAAAGAAAAAGAAGAAGAAAAGGAGAAGAAACAACTGAAAAACAGAAGCTTTTTATCTGATATGATAGAGAGAGGGGCAGGTTCTGAGTTGTGGGTCAATTTGGGGGCCTGTAATAACCGTAAACACCATAGAAGGTCTGTGCAAAAGTAAGCAACAGAAGAACTACTGCGGCAACCAAAGAGATGATGGCCCATGGATTGCTGAAGTAGTTGTGTTTCAAGGTTGCTCTCCAAGCATTCCATTTATGGTTGTAGTAGCGATTCACATCCTCGGACAGTTGGGAAAGGTAGCTAGCATTGATGTCGTAAACTACCTCTTGACAGAGACGATTGAAGAGCTCAGCAACCTCCTCATCACTGCCAAGCCAATGCTCTATTATCCCACAGTAATGGAGGTAAGCAACGTCTTCATGAGAGTCGATTAGATTATCCATGAAAACCACATAGGAGGTTATGTCATTGCTGCAATCAAGATGACACTGTTCGAATGCTATTAGATTCAGAAACAATGACCTTGTTCCGTCGTGAATCAATAGCCGTGGAATTTGCATAACCCCGTTATTGAAATTTATGTCCCAAAATCGATCAGTTTTCTTCTTCTGGAATCTGATTCCTGCGTCTTTCAGCTCTTTCACGCAGTGTATCAATTGCTGCCTCCGTTTATCGGCCACCCGATTTGCATGAGACCGCCGTTTGATCCACACTTTTGGTGCTAATTTGGGGCCTGATCGCAGGAGACTTTGCCGGAAAACGTCGAGGCAATGAAGTCCGCCTTGATAACCAAGCGGGTCAAAGGCGGTTGTGTTTCCGAGAGATGATTCTAGTTTGTTCAAGTTACTTCTAGTCAAGGGCTCATCGTTTGGGGTTAATGGATCGAAGAATCTGAGTGCCAATTCGGCTACAAGCCCTTTCTGGTAGTGGTCACCAAGCTGAAGCTCTAGCAGCCGATCCAGTACAAACAGGGGCAGCTGATTTTCGAGCATTATCATGTCCCTCTGGATTGAATGCATTGAGCCGCGCATTGCGAAGATTGGATCATTTCGAGGGTACCCAAGTTGTTTGAATCCTTCTGCAGCTCCTCTGAAGAGCTCAAGCACAAAGCAACCATCCAGCACCATCATTTCAACAAACTCATTGCTGCTATAACTGAACGGTCCTTCATAACAACTACGGGCTTTCTCTTCAAGTTCTTTCATGGCATCCAGATAAAGCTTTATGTCATGCTTTGTTCTCTCTAGGATGTGGTGAAGCGATCGCCATTTATGGCGTTCCATTTGCCGGACCCGGCGCTTTCCATGGTGGTAAGGTCCCAAAGACACAATCTGAGGAACAACAGCTTTGTCGTCTCCATCTTTCAGGTAGTGGGGGACCTTGTAAATGCTGACCTTCGCCCACGAACTTTCTACTTCATCTTGATGTGCTTGGCCAAGCTTTTCCTTGATGGTGATAACCCATCCTGACTCCGGTGATTCCGGGTCTTCTTCAAGCTTCTGATCTTCATCTTCTATTATAACACGACGGGATTCTGAATGATTCTGTCTCTGCCACTGAAGCTGGAGTTCCGATTTTTCTTGAGAATCAACAGAATTGGCTGAATTTGAGTTTATGGGAATTCCAGATTCTACCGTTTCTCTGAGCTTGAGGGTGATCAGATACCAGCTCAATAACTCTTTATTGAACACAGCCACCATCTTGTGCACAGAACTGAAACTTCTTAGACTTCGATTGGCATTTGAAGAAGCTCTTATCCGTCCCCAGCACTGTACTTCGACGTAGACAACGAGAACGTAATAATTAAGGTGAGAAGGAAAATATCCAAATTATTAATGCTTTTAAGTTCCCAAAGACGTGAAGCAAAGGAGTAGATCATCAAAAACGAAACGGACCCATTTACTTGGAATGTCTATCTTCGATGTTTGGTGAGAACGTGATTTTCATTGAAAAATCAAATTGCCTTTCTTTATTTCCAATTCTGCTTTCCGTTCTTCTTCTGGATTTTTATCAGAAGTGCACGATTCTCTCTCTCTCTCTCTCTCTCCTTTTACTTGTATATTCTTATTATTATATTATATGCAGAGATGAAATTTCCCCTGGAATTGAATTATTAAGTATTGCCACCATCTTGCAGCCCCAAAGTTGACCCCAATGATGGCATTAGGTGGAAGCAATGGGCAAAATCATGAGGGGAAACTTGCTCAATTGTTTCTTTGATTGGGGGTGGGGAATGACAACACAAAAAGACAGCTCCTTCTTAAATGCCACAGATATCATTAAACTGTTAAGGAACATTGAGATATTGAACCGAATCATTTACAGAAAGAAGCACATTAAGATTTCTAGGTAAAACAATGGGCCCAACTTCAGACCAATAGGAAATGAAGTATCAAGACATAATTTCTCTTCATTTCACCTGTTTTTCTTCTTCCCAAGCTGCCAGAAGTTTATATTGTGGCAGTGCTAATCTTGTTCTTGTCCCCAACAGTTTCCAAAGCCGAGTATGATCTTGTTGGGTTGCTGCCATTCTTAACAGGGTAAGAAGCCTGCATTGTGATCCCACACTTGCCATTGGTAGTGTGCTTTACATTGCGCTCTAGCTTGAAGTAGCCATCCTCACCCCATCCCGTGCCCCAAGAGTTCCTTACAAGCCAATAATCAACCCCGTTCTCTGTGCCATATCCAACAGCGACCACGCCATGGTCCAGAGCAGAGCCACAAACACCAGTGAATACACCCTGAACAGTTCAGACAAATGTGATCAATCACAATTTATGGATTGAAGTGGATAGTTCACGAAATGTGAGAGAGACACGATTGCTTACCGATTGGTAGAGTTGCACAGCCAAGCCACTAGCTTCAATGGCGACGCTCACTGGCTGATGGGCAACGGCCTTCTTCAATGTTTCCTCGTCGTTGGCAGGGACATCCTCGTACCCGTCGATGCTAACAACCTTGGCATTCTTCTGAGAGAGAGAGGGGAGATGTCATTCAATTCAACTCAATTCAATTCTATTCAATTCCAGAGAGGGAATCAAAATCCGGCGGAGAAAAGCAGAAATAATCTCACCCTGGTGGGATCGCATTGTCCGTCGAAGCCCTCATAAGGGTAATCTTCTTCGGTGTCCAAGCCGCCGTTGTCAATGATGAACTGGAAGGCATAGTCCATAAGGCCTCCGTTGCAGCCTGAATTGTACTTTTTATCACAGCTAACAAGCTCTTGTTCGGAGAGAGAGATGAGTTCTCCGGTGACGATCTGGTTTATGCCTTCCACTGCCGCTATGGTGGAGAATGCCCAGCAGCTTCCTGTTTCCCCCCAACAACACAATTATATTAAAGTCGGCGGGGAAATAAAATTTTCAAAATATATAACCGTAATTAAAAAAAAAAAAAAATTGTATATACTCTCAACAGCTGTTGAAATTTAAAAAACTCACCGCAACTTCCTTGATTTTTTATGGGAGTAACGGCACCTTTAGCCCTCCAATCGACGGATTCCGGCAACTGATCGCGGTTGTTGACGGCGTATCGGCGACTGGCGTTCTTGTCCTTCATGACTCGTCGAGCAGGGGACGACCTGGTCCCCAAATACGCAGCCCGATACTCGTCGTTGGTCAAATCGGCGAACCTGTTCAATCCAACCTTATACGTCCGATTCTCAGAGTTATGCTCATCGATGAAGTTCAGATTCTCCCGGAAGATCTGAAACCTCTTCTCCTGTTCTTCGATTCCGTTGTAGGTCTTGCCAAACCTCGCCAGCCACAGGTCGTAGGTTGCTCTCACCTCGCTGTCACTCCGGTGGCTGAGCAGGGAGGAGGAGAGGGCGGAAGTGGAAAGGAGGAAGAAGGAGAGGAGGGGAAGCAAAGTGGTGGGAGAAGGCATGGCGAAGGTTGGTTAAAGAAGAGGGATGATTGTTGATTGGGAGTTATGGAGGAAGTGGGGGAAGTGGCGATGGGTATTTATAGGAGGTGGAGGTTAGCTCATGGGTTTGGAGAAAAGTAAATGGTGTAATGAGTTAGAAAGTTGAAGGTTGGGAAATGGGAGATTGAAAGGGCAAGTTGATGGCGGAAGGTTTTGGCAGTTAAAAAAGGAAATAAAATATAATGCAACCGATTGAATTTGGCATGGGAGAGTGTGCCAGCGGACAAGATGACATGACTGAGTTTCACTGTCATTTCCCATACACGAGGAGCTCATCTCATCTCAGATCACAACTTCCATCACCCCTTTTAGAATTCAAAGATGAGAAAGTAAAAGCGTTTAATCTCGAAGGAAATACAAGTGTTGAAAAAGAAAAGAAAAGAAAAGAGAAGGGATGAAAGGGAGAAGTGGCGGCTCCTGTTCCCAAGAAGCTGAGAAAAGGCATGGCAGAGAAGCGACCATCCCCTCCCATCCCATCCCTTCAACGTAACCAAAAAACACCAACACAGTATGAATCCATTAAATAGGGGGAGCAGGCGTCTTCTCTTGGGAACACAAATTTCATTCTCTCCAAATCTTTCTTTGTTCATACAATATTCCCGGTTTTTACTTAATGTGCACTCCTCAATTGTTGCAACTTTTTTTTTTCTCTTTTTTTCTGATTTCCATTTTATTTTATACCTCCAAGTTGAAATTCAATGAATTTGGAAAGTAATGACCTATGGCAACGCAAGGGCTAAGTTCCCCACCCCCCTCATAATTTACGACAACGTTACATGGTTGAAGTATCGAAGGTATTTTAGCAGCAATGTCCAATCTAAATTGGAAGAGACCCAACACCAACTTTGCTTTGTTTTATGTTCTATGATTATGAAGTAGGCAAACGGCCTCACAACTACACTATTGAGAGCATCACGTATAAAATGTTGAAACATATTGAATACACGCTTCCCTGCAGTAGCAGCAGCAGGTACAAATCCCCTTCTCACCACATTAGAACATCAATCACCCCATAATGAAACAAAAAAATAAAAATTTTTAATAGAAAAGAGAAAACTGTAACCGAGTCTGAAATCAAAACTGAATTCTTTGTATACATGGGCCCTGTTATGAAGCCTGCCTCTCCTGATTCACATTCACATTGAGACCAGACCACGATCTTTTTTACCTGCCTACCTCAAAAACCATTTCTTCCCTTCAATTCTTATCATCTAATCTTTGGACACCAGAAAGATCATGGACGTGATATGGCCTGTTTCTTTTCAGTTCTGAGAATGTCTCACTGAGGTTTGAGTATCCACCACTTTCGGTTCGTGCCGCTTTCTCTTGCTTCGAGAACTTCTGGATCTGGATGAATGAGCCTTTGCAGGAAGCTTAGTTGTTTCCTCGTGGTTGCCTCTCCGAGCTTTTTCACCAGTAGGGAGTTCGGGAGGAACATCCGGCCATGGTGTTCGTTTTGCAGGTACAGTAATCTCCAAAGGAGGGTCGATTAACCACCTATATAAAATAGAAATGGAAGCATTAAGTGAATATAAAAGCAACATTCATGATGGAGGATCAACGAAAGTTGTCCAAGCAGGATCCGGCATCCCAGTGAAATGGCCAACAATACCATTAACTTGAGAATCTAAATGAAAAAAAAAAATGCATATGAAGAAGATACCATAGACACATATGCAGATGAAAACACAGAAACGACCCAGAAAAGATTGAAAACAACGATATAAGTAGGTGGTGCGATGCAAGAAAAAATAAACCACCCAGGTATTACCCTGATCCTTTCTTTTTATACTTTAATGTGTAGAACTCTTTGCACCAGCTAAATTATAGCGAAGTTGGATGTCTCTTTCAGATATAGTGAAAAGGAAGATGAAGCAAGGTAGCCTAAAGCGGATTAGGCTACCAAACAGTAAGGAATCGCCGCATTTCATAGTCAAAAGGCGCATTCAGAAATGAAGATGAAACTTTGTATTGCAACCAAACCTCAAATCCCTATGACCCTAGCTTCCTAGAGATTAAAGACTGCTAAACTAGATAGTGAACTGGCATCCTTTGTCCTTGACTTTTGAAAAACAGAAACAGTACGAAGAAGAGGATTCTTGTACTATAATTTTGTACAGAAGTTTGCCAGAAAGAAGAGCAAAAATCTGAAGGGGCTTCTAATTAACGATATTCTTGGAAATTTTTATTAGATTTTGGATCTTCGGGATCAAATTCTTAAAGGAAAAAGAATGAAAGAAGTGAAAAATCATGTCCAAGGAAATGTTTTATCAGATTTGAGATGTTTGGAAATGCCTTTCGGTCACAGGTTCAAAGCATTTGGTGAAAAGCTTGATAATATAAATCTTCCATTATTTCACATACATCACCTTTACTGTTTTCCACTAGAATTTTGGAGCTATGAGTAGATGAGAAGAAACTATTCCCTCAGTTAGGGTGAGCAAACCTCTCGAGAATTTGCGGGATGAGGCAAAGCCTGTCCAGAATTAGTGAGGTGGGTCGGCCATAAGCATAACCTCCTATACCTTGATTGATCTATAGAAATAATGTCTTAAGAGGTGTCTATAATGCCCTATAGAAATAGAACGTATAAATGGCGAAAGAATGGGAGTAAATGTAATTAGATCACCGGAAATTGGCCATCAAGATGAGCAACCCTTCTTGGAAAAGATTAAGGCAAGATGAAAACAGAGGCCATGGTTTTTGTTGTAAATTCTTAAAGGCGTTTGGAACGGTAGTCAAAATTCAAAAATGGAAAGAGAGAAGGCAAAGTTGGAAGAAAATAATTACTAGGCAAGAAGAACTTCTAGGAGACTGCTAGTGATTCTAATCTCGACAACGTTTTGAACGTAACATTGAGCTCAACCTATGACAGATTCAAAAGAGGAGACTATGATCTTGTCTTCTATAGAACGATAAGAAAAACTACAAGATTGTCCAAGGTTTCTTCCAACACTAAGGCCATCTCCGACACATTGCCAAATGTTCAGAGTCCGATAGGAACCTGAGGGCGTAGAGGTTATGTTATCTTAGAAAAGAGGATAATAGTTATAGAAAAAGATTACTTATATTAGTCAGAAATTATATATAATATGAATATCTAAAAAAGGTATGGGTTTGTATGTTGATGAAAAAAATAAGCTTGATGAGGGACCAACATCCGGAAGATGAGTAGGCAAAAAAACCACCCCTCTAAAAAGCCCTCAACTCTTTTCACTCTCCAAAGCCTGATCTATTTAATGTCCTCGGCATCATTGATGCAAAGCAAAAATTAATTGCAGTGACAATACAATTTACATGTTAAATGAACTGATCGATTTACAATTTAGAATTAGAAGAATTTGTTCGTCCTACTACCATATAGCAGCATATAATATCATTAACAACCGCATCAAACAAAAAACACAGATCTACCACCTACCACGAAAATCTATTGGCTCCAATATTCAAGTGCAGTGGCCTTTTAATGAATTATTAAATATTCTTGTAAGTTGACCACTTATAACAAGTATTGCAAGCACCAAAAGATAGAAATTTTCATACCAAAAATATCCAGAAGCAAAAATTAGAGATACAACATACACATAACATCAAATCTAGATAAAAGTTGCATTAGAAAAAATCAATATGAAAACCAGTTAAGATGATAAACCATGATCAAGGAGAGGTGATAAAGACATCCTTGGAGAGTAGAGAAGACATTAAATTAAAGGATCAGATTGGACATGAACGGCCTCAACAGGAAAGTTTAACGGAGATGCCTTTCTATAATTGCATCTCCCAATTCAGTAACACGATATTATGTCATTTTTAGGTGTTTGAAATGTTATTAAAATTTCAATACGCATTCGAAACAAATTGACCCAAAATTTCATATTGTTTCATCTCATGTTTAGTCCTATATCTAACAGATTGACGAATTTCATAAATGTAATATGGAGGAAGGCATTAAATAAAAGATGATACTAACCCATGAGGAAATTTGCTATCGAAACGAGCTTCAACTCTGAGCCACCAGAGCAAAACTTGGCGGCCACAACTTCCAAGAGGCTCAACCATCGATGCATCCTTCAAAAGAAATAAGGGACTCTCTAAAGCATCATCACCAACATCCAATGTATCAAACTCATTGACCCATTCTGGCTTATCTTCTGCATCTTTCCATAGCAACTTGGAATTCAACGCAAACCCACACCACTCAAGCTTTCTCGGAAGAACTGATGTCTTGTCACCAATGAATTTAGCACTCTTTCCGGCATATGGGAGCGCATTGAAGGTGTGCCAACCAACCAACTTATTGGAAGAATTACAAGCAGGACCCTGAGCAGGAATTGGAAGGTTCTCCACCTCCTCTGATGATTCATCTTGTTTATCTGACTGAACGATAATTCCGACAGACAGAGCACCAAACCACCTCACATTCTGGATCTCATCAAAGAACTCCATACTGTGCATATTACTGTCATCCACAAATATCACAATTCCATCCAGCCTCATTTTGCTCACAATTCTGCATCATTCACACCTACGGAATCAAATTCATATTCTAAAAGCAAACTGAAATGCGCAGTCGTAATAAGAGAAAATGGGGGCAAAGAAATACAATATTCATCATCATGCACAATCTTTGATCTCTTCTCCTTTTTTGCTCCGCAATTAGTAGCTTACTAACTAAATCGTACTCGAGCACTCAGCTTTTTTTTAGAAAGAAACAGATGCGTTTAACTAACTTACTTAATTCTTCAAAAAACAAGCAAACATCAAGCACAATGGAAAAAAGGAAGGTATGGAGAAATAACCTCAAAGCATGAAGCCTCATCTGAGCCTCAATTCGATGCCTACCCTCCCAAGAAGTTGGCATCCGCTGATTGAACCCAACGTGAATAGTCTCCAGCCCAGACTTGGCAAGAACAGAAGCAGTCTCGTTGGTGATTCCACCGGCCTCCACCACGATCCAAACAAGCTCGTAAGGGACCAACATTAGCGAGTGCATAACACCAGTCATGTGGAGCGCCTGGAAAGTCCGCACATAAGTTGGCGTTATAGCAATTAACTTTCGCGGATTCTTGACCCCGAATTGGCGCCTTTGTTCCCTCTGTACCGTCTCAATAATCTGGTGAGCCTTCATGACTTCAGTAGGGTTTGGATGTGGCCACGGCCGGATTCGGATCCCATGCCTCCCTACGACCACGCGGCTACTCGAAGTGGCAATGGTCGTAGTCGTCGTCGAATTCGCAGGAATTTCAAGATTTACAGTCGGATTTGGCAGCGAAGTAGAGTGAATGTTCAGGTCAGTAGCGGATCGAAAAGGAGTCAAGTAGAGGTTAGTGGTAGTGGAAGTAGAGAAGAAAAGGAAAAACACAAGACGAGAGAAGCGAAATCCAAGCACAAGACTGATGAGGCAACAAAGTCCATGAAGAACTAGCCAGAAAATCCCCGCCGGCGACTTGATTGGACTATCCGTGGACGAATCCAACGGCGATCCTCTGAAGCTATTGGCCCGACGGGCAGCATAGGTCTGCTGTAATGCGGAAAGCTTCATATTCTGGGTTTGACCCCACTAACCCTCCTTCGCTCCAGCAGAAGAGGATGATGGGTTGGGTCCAAAGAATTTGACAAATCGTCGAAAAGGAGTAGTTCAGATGTTCCTTTAAAGCTGAGATTCGATTTGGCTTGTAAAGTTAGCAAGAGAATGGGAATGGTGGTGCGGGAGTGGGTTGGAGAAGGGAGCTTAAGGGGTTGATTAGAGGTGAATTACTTTGAGTTGAAGAATGAAAAGCTAAGAAAATGTGTTTGTCTGAGTCTTGTTTGGCGAACAGACACACGCGGTGTCGAAGGCGATATGAGGCCAAGATGAAAGGGGCCCCAGATGCTCGACGAAATGCCTGAAAGGTAAGAGTATTAGAAATAAGGAATGAACGAGTAAGAAAATGAGAGAATATTAAATACAGAAACAGTTAACCTTTGAAGGGCAGCTTCAAACGCAAGCCAAAAGCATCAATGGCATTGGGAAGGGAGGGAGGGTGGCCGCAGTTGGTTTGGTTTGGTTTGGTTGACGCCGGATTACAACAGTAGGAAGTAGAATTCAACGCATAGCTTCCAACCAGTGGTTGACAGGTTCAAACCTCACCCACCCATCAAAGAATTTTTTTAAAAGAAACTACAACAAACATGTTCCCCTTTTTACCTCCTCTAAGCAATCAAATTGGCGAGCGCCAAGAATTGTTCCAAACTAAATCGCCCGTCTTTCCTGTTTTCAAATTGATTTCACCCCCGCTTTCTTCTTCTGGTAATAGATAAATACACATTTTTGTGAACCATCCGCCCTTACAATTCTGTAATGGGCAACTTAATTAATATGATTATAGTCCTTGAGAACAATAAAAATTGCAAAAATTAGAAGCAATCAATCATAGATGAGGTTGCTGATATTTTAAGGAAAATTGGAGAAATTTGATAAATGAGAGAGATCCAAAGTAACAAACCCACCTACATTAAAAAGCCTCCCATAATAAAAACAAAAGCCTTGGGTAAACCCATTACATCAGTTCTCAATTGCCTTTTCTTTCCTTTGAAGGCAGGCAACAACACTATTTCCTCTCCCTTTCTAATCTTCAACCCATCATCATTGTGCATATAAATATAAATATATACATATATATAAAGTCCGAACGTGGGCCAAGCCCGGCATCCTGAATTTTGAGTTACCAATTGACGTGGGCCTCTTCTGTCGATCCAGCCCATAATTGAAGGTAAAAGGCTCTCAAATTTAACACACTCAAGGCCCATTACATGATCTTCTCAATTTTTTTTTTTTTTTTTTTTTACCATCTTAATGTAATTAGAAAAATGATAGTGCAGTGATTTAATACCATTATTAAAATAACGCACTAAAAATTGCATCTATAAATCAAAAGTCGTTAAATGTTTGAACTTTAGTCTTGAGATTGGGCATTTTATAGACCGTTGGCTAGTTATTTTTTAAGAGAGAAACAAAATGTAGATAAATTATTGTGAATAAAATAGGGCATTGTTGGAAGTGAATTTAATATTAATAACTTGTGCCGCTTGATGTTACAACGAGCTCTACCAGATGGTCCACGCAATTAGTGTAGTTCTCTTGTCCTAAATTTGACTCTACTTACTTTCATACCCTACCTTCATTATATTTATTAAATTAACCCATAGCTATATACGTACTCATGCACCCATAAATATTTGTCAACTTTGTATTATTGCATGCATTTTATACCAATAAATCACATAATACGGACATATTGAAACGGATTATATTGGAGTAATAGTGGGGGGGGGGAGCCTGAAAGTCAACTGAAGGATGCTGTATTTGACGTGGAGGTGAGCTGGCATGAATCCATTGCACGTGGCCGTATTTATAGTTGGTCAAAGATCAAACGGCTAAGATCACATCTTTGACCTAATCACTATCTTTGTCCTTTTCTTCTTTCCCATCCAGATTCTAGACCAGATTAACTTTTGTGGTCCCCACTTAAACTGCAGGTCAAGGTTCTCGACATCAAGCATCGGATTCCGAGTTTCTTTCTCTCTTTTTTTTCCTGCACATTGATCTATAATTTTGGCACTTTCGTTTTTTAAATTGCTTTCTTTCTTTTTTCAATTTTAAACATATACTAAAGTTCACACCAAATCAATTTATCTTAAAATAATAGTAATAATGATAATAATAAGGTGTCACACTACGCCCAACCGATGATATATAAATATGTTTTATATCATTTTTATATTTTTAAATATTTAATACAAATCTTTCTTAAATTGGATGAATTTTTCGTCCCAAACTCATCAACCACAAAGAGAGAAAAATGCAAAAGAGGGGACACAGACAAAAAAAAAAATTGAAAACCCTTTGATCAAGCAACAACGAGAGATCTTAACCAAATCTCTATGATCCAAAACTAAGAAAAAATAATAATAATAATAATATTTAGCGATGATGGATTAAGAAGGTGAGATGAATCCTAACGAACAAGGTAATTTTAGACGTAACAACACAAGTCAAGGCCTAAAAGGAGTCCTAATAAATAAATAAATAAATAGGGGTTTAAGTTGAAAGTGAAGGGTGAATAATGTGTATATGTAAGTTTGGAATTAAAGCTTTTTTTGTATTATTTTTGAAGTTTACTAAAATCATGTGAGGATGGCGTTTTGTCTGTTTATGTTTTGTTTTTTTGTTATAATGAAAACATGTGGGGAGAAATGTTTTGTTGAAAATAAAGAGGATTAGAAGGATGGATTGGGTGTGTCTTAGTCAACAGCCGACGATGAGGATGCATGTCAAATGAGTAAGCAAAATGACAAACTTGTCCCCCCCACTTTAGCTGACTTAACTGTGCAAGGAAAATAAAAAAGAAAAAAGAAAAAGGAAGAAAGAAGATGAGAGGAGTTTAATGGCCCAATTTCAGAAATCATTTTGACCGGAGAGGAGACACTCTCTCTTTTTCTTCCTCTCTTTCTTTCTCTCTTACCAATCCTACGTTCTTCCTCCTATTTTATTTACCTTTTTCCTTTTCCTTCTTCTTACACTCCAAACCTGTTTGGTTGATGGGTATGTAGATATGGCCGTGGACCTCATCTCCCACCCCTACCCTCCTCCCTCCACCACCCACAATATGGAACCCAACGCCGTCCAAGAGGCTGCCTCAGGCCTTCAAAGCGTCGAGAAACTCATCCGATTGCTCTCCAATGCCCAACATCACTCCTTACCCACCTCTACTCAATCCCCCAATTCCACTTCCAATTCTCCCACCGATTTCCCCACCGACTGCCGCGCCGCCGCCGATGCCGCCGTCTCCAAGTTCAAAAAGGTTATTTCTCTCCTTGGCCGGAGCCGCCTCGGCCACGCTCGCTTCAGAAGAGCTCCTCTCCCTCTTCCTCAACCCCAAGTCCTCTACGCCACTCCCATCCAGCAGATCCCACCCCATCGCGATCTCCCCGCCGGCGACCTCGACAACAACGACTCTCTCACTACTACTCTCAATTTCTCTTATTCCTCCGCCCATAACTCCTTCATCTCCTCCTTGACCGGCGACTGTGATACCAAGCAGCCTTCCTCCTCCTCGCCTTTTCAGATTATCAACCTCTCCCAAGTCTCCTCCGCCGGGAAACCCCCCCTCTCTACTTCTTCCCTTAAGAGAAAGTGTAGCTCCGACAACTTGGGATCCGGCAAGTGCGGCGCTGCTTCTTCCTCCGGCCGATGCCACTGTTCCAAGAAGAGGTCTCTCTTTCCCTCTCTTTCACATTTCATAGCTTTAAAGATTAAGAATTTCATTTAATTTTAGGAGGAAAAAATAAAAATAATAAAAAAGTTGTTGAGGATTAAAAAATTTTGGCTGGCAGAAAACTGAGAGTGAAGAGGGTGATGAGGGTTCCGGCGATAAGCTTGAAAATGGCGGATATCCCACCGGACGACTATTCATGGAGGAAATATGGTCAAAAGCCCATTAAAGGCTCTCCACATCCCAGGTAACAATTTTTCTTTTTATCTTTTAACTTTTTCTTTTTACATATTGTAGACTTTTTCAAACTTGGATTCTAAATTATTAAATAAAACAGGGGTTATTACAAGTGTAGCAGCGTGAGAGGTTGCCCAGCCCGGAAACACGTAGAACGTGCCGGAGACGATCCGGCGATGCTAGTGGTGACCTACGAAGGAGAACACAATCACACTCTCTCTCTGCCCCAACCCTCCACTCTCATCCTCGAGTCCTCTTAAACCATCGTCATCGTCGCCTTCATCTCAATCTCTAATGAGATCTGAGGGTCAGTTTTTCTCCACGTCATTTATCATATATATAAATATATATTAATGGGCTCAATTATCTCTCTTTTCTTGGACAATGTGAATTAGTCTATTATTATTATTATTATTATTATTAAAAAATTTAAAAAAAAAAAGAAAAAAGAAAAAAAGAAAAAAAAGAAGAAAGGAAGGTAAAGATTGTGGATTTGGTATTAGTTGGAGTGGGATGCCTTTTTTTCCTTTTCCTTTTTCTGGATTTGGATTTTTTTTTGTTATTCTCTTTGCCCATTCCATTTCTTAAGCATTTTTAATTTCTTAATTTTGATGCCAACTTCCTGCTCTATCCGCTTACAAAAATACCCATAATGTTCATCAACTTGGATGGATATAAATACTAAAACAAATTGAATTTAATGTCTTCATTTATACACATCAGTTGTCCCGTCAAATTACATTTTATTTTTACAACAAACAAGGAAGAAAAAGGAATTTGAATTGGAAGAGGGCGGAGGAAGGGAGGCAAAAGTCAAAATGGTTGGGTGAGGGAATTGATAAAAGTATTGGTAGTGCCCAATGTGGGGCCCCCATTAGATGCCTTTGTTTCTTTCAGCCTTGCCTTTGTCTCAACGTCAACTTTTCTCTGAATTTTGGTCTCCTCCACAGACGCCCCATTAAATCAAATTTCTATACCTTCATTTCAAATCAACACTTATTCATAATTGTATCCGATACATTATTTGTTTGCGTACTTGCAACGTTTGCTAATATGTAAAAACCAAATGATTTCATGAAAACTTAGGAAGATTTGAATGTAAATGATAATGGGGGGGTGGACTCTTTTATCTTTTCTTTTTCTTTGAGGATTCTAAGCTATTCAATTATTTTAAGTAAATTAAGTCAAATGATTCTCATTTTGGTCCAGCCCCTTTTCCTGTTTCATGATGGTTCAAAACTTTTGTTTCTACACTAAGATTAATACTTGAATTTCCATTAGATTTGAGGATGTTTACCCTATCATATGTTTCCATGTAATTGCCCAATCCCACCTTGTTACCATTGCTATGTTTCTAAAATTTGACACAAATCAAAACTTATAAGAGATTCTGGTGAACTAAGACGTACCCGAGTAAAACGACCCATGAGTTTTGAACCTCCTTCTCTACAATCGGGTGGTGAGAGCTTGAATTTAACTACTAACTACTTTTAATATATTAATTAAAAATCAAGGATCCATAGCACATTAATTAAAAGTGTGAAAGAAAAGGTAAAATAGTGACTCTACATGGTACAATTAGTGCATCTATACATGAACAAGGAGAATAGCATTAATGAATCATTGATGCAAAGTATTAATTAGCCACAATTACAAGGATAATAGTGGGTTGGCTCACATTAAGTGGAAAATTATTATTTAACACCTTTGCCATGTATATATAATAAATACACTTATTTTAAATTTTTGAGAGTTTCACATAAAGTAAAGGCGAAGAATTATTAGATACAAAATTAAAGTAATTGATATTTATATTTACTAAAGAATCCAACCTAAAATTATTGAGATGGGTTGAAAGGAAACAAACCGAACATTAATGTTTTTGCATTGGAGGAAGTTTTTTTTTTTTTTTTTTTAATTTGAAAGTAAGGATGAAAAAGATGTTTTGATAACATAAATAAAATAGCGACATTATGAATCACTTGAAGAAAAAAACGGGACGCCGTATTATTGGCAAAGACAGTAACCCCTAGGACCTGAACGTTGTCGTGTTATGACAAAACTGGAAACAATTCTCATCCATCCGCTCAATCACATAGTGTCCAAGCGTGTGAGTGGCCTCTACCAAATTTTCACTGCAAAGAAATTCGTCGCTGCAGACTCTCTCCACTTCGCCGTTAAAATCATGCACAAAAACGTGCGTTTTGGGGTTCCCTCCTTTTTTGCTCCTCGCCAGAACCCCAGCCGTGTAAATGGCCGACATTCGCCCGGGTGCGTCGGGCCAGTCCCCTCGTGGGCCATCTACTAGAATCACGTCCCAATCAACATCGTACACGTGGTTCGGAAGGTCGTTGAGCCCCAGCCTGCAATCGGAGAACAGAAGATTCTGTACGGGACGGCACTCATTCCGAACCTGCTCTCTAACCGTGGAAATCAGTTCGTTCAATTCGGTTATCTTAGTGGTGTACTGCACGTCGTAGGCGTCGATTTCGGGGTGTTTTTCTTCGATGAAGGCAGCGTAGTATCGATTCTCGTCGATGAAGACGGTGCGGCCGTTGTGGTTGAGGGATTTCCAGAGAAGGGTCTCTTGGGTGAGGCCGAAGATGAGGAAATTACATGGAGTGGAGCATTTCCGGAGGACGTCGGAGATGGGCTTGAGATCGGAGTGGGTCATGTGGAAGGAGTCATTGGATTTGGAGGCGTAGTAGAGAAGGGTGTTGATGACGGTGGTGGGAAGAGGGGTGGCGGTGGAGGTGGAGACGATGGAAGAGGCGGCAACAGTAGTGGAAGCGGCGATGGGAGTAGTGGAGGCGCGGGTGTAGAGGAGTAGGAGGAGGAGGAGGAAGGCGAGGGAGAAGAAGGAAATGAAGGCGAGAAGCCAAATCTTGGAGGAGGTGCCTTGTTTGTGGATGTAAGGGTGGAGGAGAATGAGCCTGGTGTTATTGGGATTGGGTTTCATTTTTGGACAACTTTTTGGGTAAATTTGGAATTGGGTTAGAGTTATAAGCAAACGGAGAGAAGTGGTGAAGGGACAGAATAACTAATTACAAGCCAAATGTCGCTTTACCTTACTGCACTATGCTCCTCTTTTTTATTTCTCAAGGAACCTCTAAACTAAGAATAAGAATGATAATGAATATGTTCATGTTCATGTTCATGTTCATGTTGCCAAACCCTGAGATGGGGGGTTGTTTACAAATTTGGGCCTTCCAATGCTTCAGGCAGTAGCCCATTGGGCTCCAAAGCATCTTAAATTATTCAAATGAATTATTTATTGTATTATTTTATTTTATTTTATGGGTGGGATAAGTTATGGCAATGAATGGAGTCTTTATATTTTGTTTTCCAAACTTGCTAACTTATACAATTGCTTTATTTAAAGTGCTCGACTTTTTCTTTAATGGAAGCTTTTTTTTTTTTTTTATAAAGTGTATAAATATTTTTGACAGCGTAGGTTTGCTTTAATAATCTTATGTGACAATATTTATCCTGTTTATTAAAATTATTTGTAAAGGAACAAATAATCAACTATTTAATATAACACCTGGAGATGATAAAATAATACTTTATATAAAAGAAAAACATTATAAATCATGTCTTTGTTGACCGTTTTTCTTTTTTTTGAACTAACATCAATTAAAAAAAGAAAAAAAAAGATTCAATTTGCAACTTTTTTTTTTTCCCTAATAGAATGTATTGGAGGGTCGCTCACATGTGATGCACTGATTTGATTCATTTTACCACTCATTTCTTCTTCTCTTTGTCACTTTTTGACCTTTTTATATCTTACAATAAATTAGTTTTTTAAAAAATTTAAATAAGCTTAAAAAGGTAAGAGAGTTATGAGATAAAAATAAAAAATAAAAAATTATATGGAAAAGTATTTAGAGAATTTCAAAATGAAGTAATTAAAGTTGTAATTTAAGAAAAATAGTAAAATAATTGATGCAAGTAGAAGTTGCAGTGGTGATTGGAGTCAAACGCTTGGCAACAATTTTCCTTCACTCCGTACGACATACCTCACGCGATTACCTCCAGATGGTCCCTTGGATATACAAAAAGGGCCAGCTGCACTCGTTTCCTCTCTTGTCTCTCCACCACTTCCTTCATACTCTCCGCCGCCGTCTCGGCTGGGAGCTCCGGTCTGGATAATGATTCCCAACCCACCCACATTCCTCCCAACCTTTCCACTTCTCTGTTGTGTTGTGCTGTGTTCTCTCTCCGCCTTTTCCGCCTCAGGATTTGCCTTTCAAATTCCGTCGCCTGCGCTTGTCCCACCGGAAGAATTACGGTTGCCTTCCGACGCCGTTTCTCTTTTGTCCTTCAAGTCCAAAGCCGACTTGGACAACAAGCTTCTATACACTCTCAATGAGCGCTTTGATTACTGTCAATGGCAGGGCGTGAAGTGCGTCCAGGGTCGTGTTGTTAGACTGGTTCTTCAATCGTTTGGTCTCCGAGGGACATTGGCTCCAAATACAGTGTCTCAGCTCGACCAGATTCGGATCCTCAGCCTGCATAACAACTCCCTCGAGGGGCCCATTCCTGACCTATCCGGACTCTTCAACCTTAAATCTCTCTTCCTCGGCCGAAACTCCTTTGTTGGGTCTTTTCCGCCGTCGATTCTCACTCTTCACCGGCTTCAGACCCTCGATCTTTCCTATAACAACTTCACGGGTCCGCTTCCGGTGAGGCTTTCCTCCTTGGACCGGCTCATTTCTCTCCGGCTTGAATGGAATGGTTTCAATGGAAGTATTCCTCCATTAAACCAGTCCTTCCTTGAGGTCTTCAATGTCGCGGGGAATAACCTGTCCGGGCAAATTCCAGTTACCCCCACACTGTCGCGTTTCAACACGTCGTCGTTTTTCTGGAACCCAGATCTCTGCGGTGAGATCGTCAACAAGGCATGCCATTCACGCGCTCCATTCTTTAAAGCTTCCAATGCTACTCCACCACCTCTCCCTTCCGTCCAAAGCGCACAGTCACAGGACATACTTCTCTCTCCGGTCTCTCATGTTAAGCACAAGGAAACCGGTCTGATTGTGGGACTTTCAGTCGGCGCCGCAGTTTTAATAGCAGGTCTTTTATGTTTCTATGTAGCTGCCAGAACCCAAAGAAAAACCGCGTCGAAGCCGGAAATTCCGCCATTCGAAACCGACACTGCGTTTTCCACAGCTTCCGCAATCAACGGCCGAGGCGACGGAAAGGGCGAACTTCAAGTCAAAATGAAAGAAATTGAAGATATACCTAAAGTCCAGAAGAGTGGTAGTCTTATATTTTGTGAAGGGGAGGCAGAGTTGTTCAGCTTAGAGCAGTTAATGAGGGCTTCGGCCGAGCTGCTCGGTAGAGGCACAATGGGAACTACATACAAAGCAGTACTCTGCAACCAGCTAATCGTAACGGTGAAGCGTCTTGATGCTACTAAGACCGCCGCGACGAGTAGCGAAGTTTTCGACCGGCATTTGGAAGCCGTAGGTGCGCTTCGTCACCCCAATTTGGTTCCAGTTAGAGCCTATTTCCAAGCCAGGGGAGAGAGATTAGTGGTCTACGATTACCAACCTAATGGCAGTCTTTACAACCTCATTCACGGTGAGTAAACTTATTAAGCATTTCGCTGTTGAATTTTCTTTCTGGGTTTGATCAATTCACGAGTGCGTTCACGGTTCACGAGTCGAATTCGGAAATGCTCGACGTCGGTGGGTCCGAGTGGGGTAAAAAATATGTAGAGATGTTTTCTTTGTTGTTCTCGGTGTGGGATTGCGCGGTTATTTACGGTAAAGTAGATCTGTGTCTGCCATAAGATCAGTCGGTGATGCTGGCTGTGTCTGCCAAACTGTTCCAGTAACAGCTCTGGTTTAATAATATCCTTATGGCTGTATGTGCGACTTTGCCAATGCTGGCAATGACGCCAAGAAATGGACCAAATCGCTGCTTGGCTGTAAATTAAGTCCAAGTTTCAGTATATTGGTGGATTACGGGGGGGAAGATGCACATCACTACATGAGAAGTGTCCAAATAACATTTCAAAACTTTTTTTTATGAATAATTCCAACATCTGACCTCATGATTGGTTCCGGTTACTTCGAAATCCTGGGCGACCACTCGTATTATTATATTTAGAGCTTTGTAGGAATGTTAATCTGGTCGTGGTTGTGAAGTTTTAAATCAAATTCAAATATATCAGTTGGGTTTAATTAATTGCTTCTTACCAACTGTAATGGTGGGCAGGTTCAAGATCAGCAAGGGCTAAGCCTCTGCACTGGACATCATGCTTAAAGATTGCAGAAGATTTAGCTCAGGGAATTGCTTATATACATCAAGCTTCTAAGTTAATCCATGGCAACTTAAAGTCTACTAATGTTCTCCTTGGAGCAGAGTTTGAGGCCTGTCTCACAGACTATGGGCTTTCTGCTCTGGCTTTGTGTTGTGAAGATCCTGATGGTTCACGCTACCAAGCCCCTGAAACTCGCAAGTCCAGCCGGAATACTACCCACAAGAGCGATGTGTATGCCTTCGGCGTGCTCTTGCTGGAGCTTTTGACAGGAAGACATCCAGCACAGCATCCATTTCTTGAGCCAACTGATATGTTAGAATGGGTAAGGATAGTTAGGGAGGATGATGGTGGGGATAGTAACCAACTTGGAATGCTTACTGAGGTGGCTAGCATCTGTAGTACTACATCCCCTGAACAGAGGCCGGCCATGTGGCAAGTTTTGAAAATGATTCTAGAAATCAAGGAGAGTGTCATGACAGAGGACAGTGAATCTAGTGGCTTTTGACTGTTTATTGACAAAAGCTTATCGACTGTATATTTGGCTTCGAGTAAAAGGGGATAATCCCATGAGAATTAAAACCCAGGAATCTCAGATCAACGTCTTCGACTTGAAGATTGAGTGGACAATGTGGTGTGACAGTGTTTTGGCAAGAGAGAAGCAGTGGGTGTGCCTGTTGAGAAGAAATGGAGGCATTAGAAATGGCGTTGTGATCTCAGAATAACAGAAACAAGGAATTGTAATCACTGTCTTCTACGTGTTTTTCATTGCAATGAAACAAGATTTTTATTGCTTAGATGCTTAGAATGGCTGACTACTGGGTTTGTGATGCAAATTCAAAACTTATTTTTGCAATCACAAACGAAACCCTTGAAATATACATGAAAACAGGGGATGATTTGGGGGAATCTATTTTTATTTCTTTTGATTTCTGGGCCATCTGACCTTTATAAAGTCCATACAATGGGCCATCTGGTTAAACCTTCAAATTTGGGCCATTTGGAGTTCGGTGTCTAATCTGAGCCCATTTGAGCGCAATACTTTATCACAATTAAAGTAATCCGACCCAAAATTCAGGGCTTCCACCTCTCTCCCTCTCTCTCTACTCTGTCAGACTCAGACTCGGAGAGAACAGCACTCCGATGGACGACATAACGAGCTACTACGCGCCACCTCCGCAACCGCAACCACCGTCGCAGCCTTCTGGTCTTGAGGCGCCTCACTATCCCTATTACCAGGTGCCTCCTCCTCCTTCTTCAGCACCGTCGTCTCAGCATTACCTTGCTCAACACCCGCCAACCTTCGCTTCCTATGGCTTACCTTTTTTACCTCACGCAGCCTCCATTAATGAGGTCCGAACCCTATTCATAGCTGGCCTTCCTGAAGATGTCAAGCCCCGAGAAATTTACAATCTCTTCCGGGAGTTTCCGGGCTACGAGTCCTCTCATCTTCGGAGCCCCACGCAGACGACCCAGGTGTTGTACTTTGTTTTTCTAATTTGCAAAATTGTTGATTCTTGTGGCATTTTCTTTTTATTCTGAATGAGGATAGTCACTTAATTTGGGTGCCTGGATGCTTACATATGTAAATACTCTTTATCTTCTAAAGTCTGACGTCTGAGTAAACTCGTGGACATTAGTTGCGTTAGTATCAAAGATGGAGATTAAACACCGGTCCGTAGACGATTCTGGTTTGGTTACTTTACGTTTGAGGTTCTTGAAGAAGTTCAAGATTATAATGGTTGAACGAAATTAACTTGGACCTGGTTTATTTTGGCTCATTATAATTCATCTTGACCAAGAATGTAAATGTTAATTAGGGAAGGCTTGGGATGAATCCATGGTAGCCATCTAGCTAGAATTTAATGCCCTACAAGGTTGCTTAACACCCGACATGACACGACCATGCAACTGGACCGATCAAAAAGTAAGAAACAAAAAATTAATAAGGTAAACCACATTTCTAATGAAAAAAGAAAAAAGAAATAAATCTAATTCTCAAAACGTAATCCAACATGGCATGAAAACACTCAAATGCCTACTCTGAGATTCGTTAAATAAACTATAAGTGTGCTGTGTCATACTCTAAAGGAAATGTCAGTGTCAATATTGGTGCCAATAGCCTAATACCAATGCAAATGTGCAATCTGGTGCTTATGTGGCTCGATTGGCCTACTGAATTTTAGTGGCATGCAACTTTTTAACGTTAACCCCTTTCACCCATCACTATTCCACAATGCTATGGAGCATGTGCACCTTTGTCATGTTTGGAACTATAGATTTTGCTCTGCTCCTTTCACAATGTAACCCTTCTTCAATGAAATCACTTTACCTGTCAATGACTACAGGAGCCGTGACCGTCCAATTATCTGCCTTAGCCAAGATGTAGCAGAGAGTTTTCAATGTCCTGGACAACAAATATGACTTGGTCGCTGTCATTTTTATGCATGAAAAATTCCTTAGCCTTTGCAATTCGAATTCAACTTTGACCAATCTAAACTTTTTTTTGCAATGCCTAAACAGGCTTGGATTGTGTTATTAGTATCCATGTTTAAGGGTTCTCAAGTTATTCGATGTAATCTCAGGTTCTGGGATGGTCATAGTGGTCATACGAAAGCTTGGGGACTTTTGTTTTCAACTAACAAATGCTATCCTAAGTGCTGTGGAGACCATAACTGAGATATTAATATCCCACGTTTACAACTAACAAACATTATGCTAATTGTTAGTTTCAAATTTTGTTAATATTGTTGTCGCATATTTATGTAAGTACCCTTCAGATATGTGTACTGAGTGCCTATGACTATCACTGTAACTTGTAAAAGCCTTTTCTTTTCCTTTTCCATTCTCTCACGAAATATCTTATGTATACAGCATTCCTATCACCGCCTGTGTTGATGGTAGAGCATATATTTTATTGATTAGCATCATGCATGGTTTTTTCTTACAATTTTTTTGGTGTGGTTACAGCCATTTGCATTTGCTGTATTCTCGGACCAGCAGTCTGCCGTAGGTGCAATGCATGCTGTAAATGTAAGTACTTGTTCCCAGCTTCAGTATTCCAAGTTCTTTCATTAAGAAAATCATTTCAATGATTAAAGGAAGTACACAAAATGAACGTGGAAGAAGAAATTAGCCCTGCCTTGGAGGATAAGCTCACCCCATCTTAAATCAGATCAGCAAGGAAAACTATCATGAAAACTATCATGCAATATAGAAAAGCATTTATTTCTGAATTTCTTATAATTAACAGCTGGAAGAGCTTCAAACTTCTGTAGCTTTCTGAAGGGAGCTGCCAAAGCAAAGCCAAGTATATAGAATCAAAACATTCTCCTCTTGTAATCTAATCCTCCAAACAAATTCATTGAAGGAATGACGTTACAATATCAGGGAACTCTTTCCATATATCAAATTTGTTTAAAACCCTGAGTTTGATTTACTATATTACCTTATGCATTGTTCGTCATTAATTGACCTTAAAAATAAGGTGCACACCGGACAGCTATCATTGCTGCTGTAACACTAAACTGTTAGGGTTTGGGGAACTCGTGAGGTACACTAAATTTCTTTGGGATCCTGAACCTTGAGCTCGATTTGAGTCATTCATTGACCCGAAGGATAAGGTAGACAGCTATTGTTGCTGCTATAACACTAAACAGTTACCAATTCCTGGATTACCATTTTTCTGCTGGTCCTTCTTTTGCCTCTTATGCTTTCTCACTCTCTACTTATTCCTCTATAGAATAGCTGTTCTAAAAGTGCGCTACTTAAGGTATTCCAAGCATTGGTATAAAAAGATTTCTACTCTAGGTAGTGTCTCACATTAAAACAATTGGTTGCTCTTTGTTGTAGGGGATGGTGTTTGATCTTGAGAAGCAGTCAGTACTATATGTTGATTTAGCTAAATCCAATTCAAGATCAAAACGGATGAGGACAGGTACATATCTTAATGGCTGTCCTCTTATGAATTTATATTTCAATTTCTATTTTCTATAGTGGTAAAACTAGTTTGAAATTTTTCGTTATGTGTTCATGAATTGGTTAGAGGATGAAAGATATGGATCGGACAAGAAAGCTAAAGTATCTATCTTTTCAAGGAGAACTCCTGATCCTGGTAAGTTGATTGCTTGACTCCTTTTCTGCCTGTAAACTCTTTCTTATACAAGCTTTTTCAAAAATTAATTAATTAAATAAAATTTTTGTCCTTTTGATACCATTTACGACTATTATTATGATTACTTTTAATGTATAAACCTGTCCTCTCTGATTTGAGGATGATTATGTGCTTCCTGTACAACCTCTTGGGGTAAGAAGTAATTGATTAGCCACGCAGGGGACACATTATTCTAAAAGCTCATTTTGCACATGTTTTGCACGCTTGGGCACTAGCAGGTCTTGGCAGCACTCACATGTCTGGAATGGGTAATTCTGCTTACAACACGATTGGTTATCCATCTGCACAAAGGTCATCTGCACTACTTAGCACATCTTTATTATTGAAATGGTTGATTACAAGCTTATGTGAAGCTTATACATTATTGTATAACAATAATCACTAGTAGAATGTCCAAGGGCTTCAGTAAAAAGCTCTACTACATGCCCTGACTTCTGTGTTAGTTTTTAACTTTATACTTGCGTTATTATGTTTCTTCTTCTCTGTCCTAACTAACTTGCACTTTCTATCATCAGCCATGGAAGCTTTGATAACAAAACTGTAAATGATACAGTGGCTGCAAATGTGGTAAGGTCACTTTTTGTTGCAATTTGTGATTCTGCAGTCCCTATAAGCTGTGCCATTAAATCCTCCCTTTTCTGTCCAAAAAGCATTATATTACCAATAATTGAACTACTTATCCTGATGAAAGTAGCAAGTAATTTTTCACTCAATTATATAGCAAATTGGGATAACATTCACGGAATTAGCCAAAACTGTTTTAATTTTCATTTTCTATCCTTTTGAAATTGGCTACTCATTTTCCTTTAAATTTTTATAGTTCAATGTCTGTCTATGGGCTTCATTGTTGTACTGTGGTTTATTTTGACGAAAAGAATCATAAGAATGGTTTTGAGGGTAGATAGGTTGCGGGAGGATGTGTGGATATGGTGGACACACTGTAATGCCTCCCCATGGGTTCGTAATTCGAAATTGTTTCTTAACATTTGTATTTACCAAAAGTTGATTTCTTGTAGGTTGGTTTGTATTCCACACTTTTCTTTTGGCCTTCCTGTGGGTTTCTTTTAGTACTTGTAGTGAAAAGTTAATTTTCCCATTACAAAATAATGACCTCTCGAACGGGAGGCTTAACTTACCGTGAACAAACAAAGGGGAAACTTTATTTACCAACTTCTACAATATTATTTGCACGTATTCCTTTTGTTTTTTTGTTGTCTCTTTTCAAGTGGAGGGGAATTCTGGGAACAGGGCTGCAACCATATTAAATCTGGTTAATTTGAAGTTTCTTTCATGACATATTTAATACTTAGACGTAAATAAAGTCACCTTTTGTTTAGGTGAAAATATCTTAGTTATGTGTGAATGACCTTGTGTAGCCCAATCTATGTAGTGACTTTTGTTAACTTTGGCCTAATTGTTCTTCATTTCCAGACTCCTCAAAATCCCCCATGTCCAACACTTTTTGTGGCAAATCTAGGGCCAAGTTGCACAGAGCAAGAACTTATTCAAATTTTTTCTAGGTTGGTAATTTACTGCACGTTATTGGGTTATGTTCTGATCTTAGAACTTGTATTATCTGTTTGTTTGATTATTCCTTCCAGATGCCCGGGGTTTTTAAAACTAAAGATGCAGAGCACGTATGGGGCCCCAGTTGCTTTTGTTGATTTTCAGGTTAGCAGAGCCCTTCCTTTTCTCAATATTATTTTTCTGTTGTTGATAATTTTTTTTTTCTACTTCAATGGTTCAGGATACCGCCTGTTCAACTGGAGCACTGAACCATCTGCAAGGCTCAATTCTGTACTCATCACCTCCTGGGGAGGGCATGCGATTGGAGTATCCTTTTGCAAGATTATTATTCATTACAACTGGACTGCTACATCATGTCTTCAAATGTTTTGCTTAACCCAGAATTTAGGTACGCAAAATCACGAATGGGTATGCGAAAGAAATTGAAATGAATAATACAAGCAACGAGAACAGGAGCCAAAAAGGAAGAGTCAAGTAAAGAGAAACCCTCGGGCGATGTTCCCACATGAATCTATGAAGGCCAGAGGAGTTTCATTACTTGGTACTGTTGTGCAGGTGAGTAAATTTGCCACATATGCGATGCCCATTTTTTGATTGTATGTATCAAATTCCATGCTCATTGGATAACGCTGATAAAGCTGTTCCAATATGTATTGTAATATTATGGTATGTCCACCGAATGGCTAGTTGCCAAGTAAAATTTTTGTGGTAAATTTAGTGAATTATATTCAATCGTGGAGTTTTAATATCATCAAATCCTTAATTGGATTGGCACTAGTTTAAGAAAATGATTGTTCAAACTATGTTATCGTTTCTCCATCTGCTCTTCCTATTTGTGGTTAAGCAGCGATGAATTATCCGTTTGTTCTTATCCAACATTGTAGCTCTGACTTTGAATGAAATTTGAATTTCACACGTGTTTTGTAAGCTAAATTCATTGAACTGGTTTTTCTTCTTCTTCAAGCACTTATTTTATTTTTAAATAAAAGAATTTTCGTTGACTAGCTTCTAAAAATCAAAGTTATTGTCAATTTCACGTCACTTTTAAAAACACATTGTTTTTCTTCTAGATTTAAAAATGTGGAATTGAGTAAATAGTCCATGCTACCTACAATAGTCTAATTACCCTGCCCTGTCTCTTTCCCATTGTGTTAAGTTCTGTGAGTCTTGCATTGTTATATCATTTCCTTCAACAAGAATTCTACATAAACAAAATATTAATGGGACAATGGGTCCTTGTATTAAGATTGAAAGGTATTTGTATTGGTAGAGATGATGAGATTTATAGGAATTTTGGGGCAAAAAATGTGAGAGAGATGGAAATTGGGCCTGAATTAGGGGCAGGGGCGACAGAAACAAGGATTATAAGAAGAAACAAACATGTCCGCAGATATCGTTATCGTGTGGAGTAAAAGTCAATCGTCCCCCAACCGTATCCGCCCACCGACCACCCACCACCCACCGACCTTCCCCCTTCTTTCCATTTTTTACTTCTGGTTATAACTTTAAAAAATACCATTTTGGTTAGGTATTTTATATGTTTCAAACCAAACTTTAGAGATTCGTAGTAATATTTGTGCTAAATAAAATAGTGAGTTTAAGAATGAAAGTATATAGTAATACACACACACACATATATATATATACTTGGAAGTCCACTTGAGGTTTCACACAAAATGACAGCCCCACTCCCCCACTACCCTTCCACTATTCTAATTATGGTTTGTTTTTATTTAATGCCCATCTTATATTAAACAATAAAATCAACAGAATGGAATTTAAATTCGGGTTTGAGTCTTCACATTTCATCATGACCGATGCTTAAATGTAGCGTTTTCTTTCTCTACAAAAATCATGTAATATTAGGAAACATTAAATTGAATTATGATGAGATCAGTTTTATGCATTGCTTTGAAACTCACATAATCAATCAATTTCTTTTCTAAACGATGTAGAGATCAAATATGAAAAGGGAAGTATCAAATAAATTATATTTTTAACCAAAAAAAGAAAAGTGGTGAGGTGAGACTGTACTGAGATGTCACGTGGCACACTACAGCTGCAAAAAAAAAAAAAAAAAAAAAAAAAAAAAAAAAAAAAAAAAAAAAAAAAAAAACCAATGAATGTTTTTATCGATGATTGGTTGGAGCAAAATTATTTAAAAAATAAAGCTGTGGACACCTTTGAAGTGTCACGAACCCAATATATATTCACGTTGCCGTCTGCTCATCGTTTAAATTTTTTTATTAATTTTTTCAAGAAAATTAAAATTTTAAAACCTGCAAAGATAGCTATAACATTTTATAAAATTAAGCATAATTAAAATATATCAGAAGAAAGTAGGTGGCACCGCTTTTAAAAATCTGTTGCTACTTTTAAAATGGGATTAAGAATTGAAATGTTTGATATAAAGGGGGTGAGATTTTGTCGGTGAATTTCACTTTGGGCGCACATAAATATAAACCCTTTATTTCTAATTTATTGAGATACGGAAAAGAAGAGGAAGAAAAAAAAAAAAAAAAAAATTATATGAACGTGGGAGGCTAATTGAGATGAGAAACTTGGAGGCAAAGTAGCAGTAGTAGGAGTAGAGCGAAGAAGGGGAGAAATGGAGATTGCAAAATCCAAACCCAAAATCAAACCCTTTTCTCTTATCCCACAAAATTCGTAGCTACAGTAGCGAAGCTCATCAATCGCATCCCCTTTTTGTTCCTTTTCATGAAGATTCAGATTCTGGGTTAGGCCAAGGGAGAGGTGAGATTTGGAATTGGAGGGCCATGGAGGGCGGAGGAGAGGGAGGTCGGGAGGGTACCAGAAAAAGAGGGGTCCACAATCAGAAGCTGTACAAAGGGATAAGGATGAGGAAGTGGGGGAAGTGGGTGGCTGAGATTCGAGAACCCAATAAGCGCTCCAGGATTTGGCTCGGCTCTTACTCTTCTCCAGTGGCCGCTGCCAGGGCCTACGATACCGCTCTGTATTACCTCAGAGGCCCCTCCGCCAGGCTTAATTTTCCCGACTTGTTAGCCGGGGAAGGACGCGGAATTAGCGGCGGTGGATGTGGCGACATGTCGGCGGCTACTATACGGAAGAAAGCCACGGAGGTGGGCGCACGAGTGGATGCTCTGGAGAGTTCCTTAGGTCATCACCAACACAATCACAACAATCGGAACCATCATTCCCATGCATCGGCGTCTCCGCCAGAGACGAAAGTCTGCAGCGGGTTTTTGGATCGGATGGATTTGAACAAATTACCCGACCCGGAAGAAGATGATGAAGAAGGAGATGGGGAGTTCGAGTGGGAGAGACAATGAAGATGAAGTGGGGATACTTTTCTTACACTCAGAGACGCCAACACACGCCACCGAGGTATGTGACGCCCGATCATCATGCCCTTGGTTGTCTCCTAATTTGGTTCTCTCTGTTTCTGGTTAGGCTGCCTCCATCTAGGGTTTTTAATTTTTTTTTTTTTTTTTTTTTT